ATAATGTGGGTGGTGGAAAAACTAGGAGTTAGAAGAGATCAAATATTGTTTACTGTTGATCAAACCTTTAGCATTTTCATTCACTCCTGTACCTCTCTTCCCTAACAGAAGTTCCTCCTTTGTCCTCTAAATAAAATGCACATTGGCCGTCAAAACTGGAAATAAAGCTACCTTTTCATAAAAGCACATGAATCAGTACAAGTTATGTTTCTGTGAGTCGATGTGGTCTCTAAAGCTTGAACAGAAACTGTAAAACCGTCTCGATGTTTACTTCTCTACAGCAGAAGAGAAGATTCTGTTGAATACAGAAAGTTTATCCAGCTGTGAGAGATTCAAGGTATTACTGAAATCAATATATAACAGTTTTTGGAGGAAAGGAATTTAAAGTAAGGATTTTTTCTTTTTTTTTTTTTTTCCTATAGCATACTTATTCAGTGAAAGACTTGCATTCTGCAGGGTGTTATTAGCTCGATGTACTCAATAGATTAAGTGACTGTATTCATACTGCAGGGAAAAAGGACCATATAAGTGCTGTATATTATCTTATTGCCGATGCATAGATGTATACTTTTTCTCAGTGCTTACCTATTATTCTCAGCTCTTCAAACTGCCTCTTGAAATGTGCATTGGTTGGCTCATATTAGCTCATATACAAAGTGCTACTCAAATAAAACAGCCTCTCATTAGCAGTATTACCAACTTGTCCTCTTTTCTCTTGGTGAAGGTAGAAACACAGAGTTGTTTTAATCCTGCTTATGCTTTTTGAGCTGGTGTCATGGTTTGTATGGAGGTAGTAGAAGTAGCTCTTGAAAATGACCTTTAATTTTCACTAACAATCAGCTGTTTATTAAATGAGGGTTTTTTTATTAGTTCTGAAGATCCGAAGATCAATCTCACCACATTTTCTTGACTTTCAGACCAGCACTGACAACGTGTAAATGGGAAAGCATAGGTCGAGTTTGCTTAGACATCACATGTGGTGTCCCACAAGGCTTTGTTTTGGGACCCGGATTGTTTATTTTGTACAGAAATTATGTATGCAAAGTGTTTTATTTTCTAAAATTCATCGTCTTTGCAGACGATACAGATATTTAATGTTCTAGGGATTGTGTGCAGCAGCTTTTAAAGGTGGCCAAAAAGGAACAGTACACAGACAAATGCTGGTTTAACACCAATGAGCTAACATTGTATTAGAACAAAACCAACGTTATGTTACTAAGAAATCAGATGTTAAACACAGGAATGTGTCCATGTTAGGCCGGGCGATTTGGCAAAAAAAATTATCGCGATACATTTTGTCATATTCATCCGATGTCGACTATTAACACAATTTTTTTTAAACTGCCAGTTTGAAAGCATCTGTACCACAAACTGAAGAAACTAGAAATTAGTTCAACATTTTAATTATATACACAATAAACAACAAAGCAAATCAAATAATATAAACTTAAAAAAATGTGAAACCCATTTTAACTCAACAGTACAACAAATTTAGATAAATACTAATTAATACAGTGAACTAGTTTACAGTCCTGAGTGTTTCTGGTATGTAAGACCCCAAAATAAACAAATGTCTCACCCAGGGAAAATTAAGATGCCTTAAAATGTAAACATTAGATGATGTACACATTGACTTAATTACTCCACGTCACTTTGGAGATACCCGCACCACCGCCACTCAACCAACGTTGAATAATTTCTCAACAATAACATCCTTGGAGAGTGACTCAAAGTCATGGCGGACATCTATTTTGCTGCCCTCAGCTCCATGATCGGTCATTCTGTTTACTTCTATGGTAAAAAAAGTTAGCAGGAAAAGCTCGACTCTGATTGGCTGTTGTGGCGCACACTTACGCTGTGATCGAACTGAAATTAATCACGATCATTTATCATAATCATTAATCGCCCAGTCCTGCACAAGTTGAACATGTATATGACAGTGAATTTCAGGGTGTTTTTATTGACCACAAGCAAACATCTGTGCTCAAAGATCTCAAGATTCAAGCTCAACAATCTGCAGCATGCATATTTTTTGTAAAGATAAGCTACAAGGTTGTTAAATCATGCTGACTTGCAAGATTGTACCAATATGTTGTTCTATACATCTAGATGAACTGACTTTACAAAGCAAAGCAGAGCTAGTAAGGCTGTTGCTTCCTTCATCCCCTCTTGAAAGCATCAACAGTGGGTTTTGTTTTTATTTTGTGTTAATCGTTGGATATATCAGCTATTAAGACCAATTTGTATCTTCTTTTGTGTCAAAATTTTTGGATGCGTTTGAGACGAATAAAGATCAAATCAAATTGAAACGACTAATCTCCCTAAACCAAAACAAATCAAAGAAACTGTGACAAACTGAGTAAATCGCTTGAAAAAAAAAAGGGAAGACGAGGACAGAGGGCAAAAGACTCAATGGACTTAGAGATTTTTCACAGCAGCCAGTCAGCGGGCTGAACGGAGCAGCTTAATTGAAGAGCCTGAAATAGAGCCTCTCTATTAGGACTGAGGAGGCTGAGGAGGCTCCCTGCTCCAGCAGCCAATCAGGGGCCACGATCGTCCCACTCTGCTCTCTGCGCTCACCCTCAAGATAGCAGAGAGAGAAAAAAGGGACACAATTACAGCATGTCAGGAAGATGCTGCATAGTCATTGATAGGAGGCTCATTTGTGTGTGTTGTGCCAATTTGGAGCTGACACACGGTGGCCTGTTTTATGACTTTCAGCCACTGCTTTACTTGAGTGCACTTGTGTTTTTGCTCTTTTGCTGCAGTGAGATTTACAGAGTAGTATCTCTAAAAAAAAAACTTTGAAGTGACTTCTCGTGAGTGCATTAGTGAAATGGCAACCTCTAACATAAAAAAGCTGCATTGTTCATGATGCTACCCCAAAGTTATTACGGGTAAAAGCCTGTATTTTTCTTCACTGTTCATTTTCATTGGTGCTACTGTAACTTTGCCCTCAGTTGTGTGAGCATTGCCCTCTACTGGCAGCTATTGTGTATTACAGGAAAGGCTCCAGCATGTTTATGACACAACCTTGGATTTTCAGGGTTTATAGCACAGTAAATACCTTTACATGCAGCATCTGGAGCTCTCTTCTACACAGCTGACAGCAACAACAAAAACAACAACACAGCTGTGCTCTCAGACCCCCACAGTGATTTTTTCCCCCCTGAGAGTTTTCTAATAAGATCCAGGAGTTATTAAAAGTATGTCCCTGAAATCAAAGAAAACACAGTATGCCACCGTAATACATCCAACTGTTCCTCCAACTTACAGTGAGAGCTTTCAGCGCTTTTGAGAGTTTGAAGATGGCTGACATATAAGCTCCTCTGAGGTATTAAGCTTTTTGATTTCCCAGGTGCACTCACTGACATTTTATCATCGCAAACACACGTCTTTTACCGCTCCGCAGACCAACCCATCATGCTTGTGACTGTGACTGTGCCACCAGATGGCAGTCAATAATACAGTAATCCCACAAATCCAGGAATCAGTATGAGGCATGCTTTTTGTTGGAACAGGAAATAAAAGGGGAATAATTCCAAGAGTGGGTTTTTATGGTGACATTTTATATGTTTTGTTATGTTTTGGTTGCTTCTGCTTTTGTGCTATATGTTTAGCTTTGTGTATTAGTTTGAGGCAGTGTAGTGTGTGCGCTTATGTGACTTTTAGAAGTGAAGAAAACCATTCAGGATGGCTATGTATTGTACGATCACATTCACGGTAAGCAAACAACCTTGAACGATACAGTTCACTGATAAAAGGAATCAGTGTGAGATTTATACAAAATGTTTCCTTTGCATGAAAGGGCAAAATAAGCAAAGAGATGGGTTGTACTGTACTGGGGCACTAAGGTGAATACAGGTCAAAGTTCTAGCTTTAAATTAAATCGAAAAGAAGATTTATTGAATAACACATGAACAAATAATAATAATAAAAAAACAACTCATAATACTTGTTATATATCAGTAAGCTAAGTGGAAAAGGTCAGGTAAAGGGAAACTAACTTGAATCTGTACCTGTATTTGTGTGAATGTAGCCTACTTTTACAGTGGCAGAGAACCGCCACTGCTGCAAATAAAAAAATAATGCAAAAAAAAAAAAAAGGAGTCACAATGGAAGTTACTGATGCAAAAAAAGAAACTGAAGCCCGCTGCAAATGAAAAAAGAAACGGTGCAGACAAAAAAGCCACAACGAAAGTTAGCGACGCAAAAAAAAAGTGGCGATGGAAAAAAAAAAAGTTGCTTAATGCGAAAATAAAAAGGTGCAAATAAAAAAAAGCCACAACGCAAGTGAGCTGCTCGGGACCAATAATGATGGTGCACCGGTGTTTTACGATCTAGGCACAAAGCAAAGAAGTTAGTGGAAAGGTTATTGCTTCATTTCACTTTGTGTTCTTTTCAGTGTGTCATTTGGTTAAGCCATGTAGAGCCTGAGTCGATATGAAGTTGAACTGAAGCTAATACTACACCAGCATCCTCAGTTCAACTTTTTTATCGGCACAATTTATTTTTTTATTTGCAATGGGCTTCGGTTTCTTTTTATTTTGCATCAGTAACTTCCGCTGTGTGTGGGTGTTTTTTTTATTATGCATCATTTCTTTTTTTTATGCATCAGTAACTTCTGATGTGATTCCCTTTTTATTCTTTTTAATTTGCAGCAGTGGCGGTTCTCGGCCACCGTATACTTTCAATAATTAACTACTCATTAATGCTCTATAAATACAGCGAAACACTCAAACCCGTTACAAAGTGCAATAAAGTCCCTTTTAAGACTAATAATAAACCATAAGCCGCGTTTAGTTCGACAAATAACTTAAAGTTTGTACGTGAGTGTGAGAAAGTGTTTAAGAAGAAGAGGCCGTCACTGCAGAAACACTAAACAAAGACATTCAACCAGAATCCTACAAGTGGGACGTCACACTTCCCGCCCATTTTTTCGTAATCGTCTCCGATTGGCTAGCACTCTAAGCTCTGTTCTCCTATTGGCTGGTTCAGCTGTCGGTTAGAACGGTTCCTTGGCCGTTCAGTGTTCCGCTGCGTTGGGGATCACAGGACGCAAATCAAGTGAAACAAATCCTCCGACAGAGGAAAAAAGTTCATGCTGGAGTTTTTTAAGACCTCAGAAGGACACATGAAGGTAAGAAGACCAACAGAAAACGGGTTTGTGTCGGCGGTCTGCAAAGAGGGACGGTAGTTTGCTGAGTATGACCGTGTTTACACTTTTTTCTTCAGGAGAAAATGAGCCGAAAATTGGTCAAAACTCGAGCTGAACAGATAGAACCATATCTATTTTAACTTGAATCTTAAAATAATATGTTATTCAGCATAAAAAGATGTATTTTAGCCGAAATCATGTAAAGGAAGAAGAGTTGACATCTCCTCTCCTCCAGGCGCTGCGGTCCGTTTGATCTTCTTAATACGGCTGATTCAACACTTCTACAAAAACTACAGAAATAAAACCTTTTTAACGGAGCTGCATTCATCTTTATAGTCATTTACAAGCTCTTTTTATGTAGTTTTAACTCTGCTTTACAGCTAGTGTGGATAGCAAACTGTGTGTGTGTGTGAGAGAAAGAGGGAGAGCAAGCGACCCACTCAAAAATGAGGTTGGCAACCAAATCCAATTTAGTATCCAGACATGCAGCTTCTGCTCAGACATCCTGATTACTACAAGCAGGAAATACAGCTGACCTCTCCGGCTCTTCTTTCCCTCAGCTGACCCTTATTTCATATCAAAGTGTGTTGGCCAAGTAGGCAACAGTCTGTGTCATCTTGTCTTCATTCACAGATGAAAAGTTTTCCCCTCCCTCTCCTGCTGTGCTGGCTGGAAGAAACACTAAAATAAAAGGTCATGTAAACTGACTTGCTGGTTTGGTCTTATAAACTGTACTTAGGGTGAGAGATGTGGATTTTTAATTGACTATGCTATGACCTGGGTGTGTGAGGTTCATTTTCCACTCATACTGTACACACACATTGAGAACCACACACGCTCACACACTGGTGAAACTGGAGCAAAGCATGTTGTGTTTGCAGTCCAAGCTGCTGTGTTTTTAATGAGTTTAAAGTGTTGCAGAGTGGGCACATGGCTGACCAGGATTAAAACAAACAGGGATAAAAGGATTATGGACACAGCAGGGCTTTCGTCATCGGAAGTGGAGCTATGAGAACGTGTGGGAATATTTGTATTTCCCATGCTATTGCCCTGTTGTTTGTATACCCTCGTGATTACCCACTCTCACCAGGGGGATTAGGTGAAATAATATCAAAATGATGAGAATCCAAACAAGCGCGATGACACATGTAAGCCCCTGCTTGGCCAGACATTTCTCATAACACAGCTCACACTCCTCTCCCAGTGATTACAGCCGCCTGTGAAATTAGCAAGCAAGCCTGTAAACCCTAAACCGAGGGAGGTGTGTATGTTGTAGTTTAATTAGCATTTTAGCCCTGTGGTTAAGCCACAGACCGTGAGTGTGCTACGAGTGCCGGTGGTGGAGGCACAGCTCCCATACAGGCCTGTGTGCCTTCTTTGTGAGAGGACGCTGCTGTAGGGATTAGGCTGGAGGTGCAGTTCATTCAGGTCACAACTCATTCCTCCACTAAGGTCGTGTTTAGATGGTAACCTCTGATTTGAAAAACTCAAGGCACATGCAGACAAGTGGTCTGTCTCTGCTGGACAGGAGACTGCTGCTTACATCCAGTAAAAAGAAGTTAGAGATGTGCTGGTGGTATTTTTTTAAGGCAATATCAAGAAGTATGTTATGGGGTGATAAATGAGGTTAAAGCTCCTATGTGGAGTTTTTTTTTTACATAAATGAAACAGATTCAAATTCATACAGATGTCTTTTTATGATACACAACAACAAGTGAGACCACCTGTGACATGATTTAAGAGTTTTAATTTATAGTTTTTAATACTTGATACTGCTGTGAGGGGGTAGGTGTCAGTCTAAAGACAAAGTCTTGTTTTGCCACTTTAAATACTCACAACAAATGATAAATTTGTCTGTCAAAAATCAGCCAGATGTTGTTTTTTTGTAGAGGACACTACCAAAGCAAACTTTGTCCACAGGGGGCACCAAAGTTGATACAAACCGAAACTTCCTCACAGGAGCTTTAAAGTTTAGATTAGATTGTTCTTTAAAGTTCCTGTGAGAATCTCTCAGCTTCGCTTCTGGCTACTATTGTTATAGTGAACAGTTTTTTTTAATTATAAGACAATTCTGGTGCACACATTTATCCACTGCATGGCACAAAGGCCTCAAAATTCACCCATCAATCAAAGAATCAACCCTTATTTGGTTCTTGGTGCATTGATTTCAGACCCGGCAGTAAGTTTAGGACTTTGAAGCCGTTTCTGTTCAAGCTTTGCAGGAGAGGTTACCACACAAAGCTGTTTCAAGAGATGCTTTTATTTGTGTCTTTTACTGCCTCAGGCTGAGGTTTGACTCATATTTTCAATTTCAGTCAAAAACATATTTTTTCAGAAAGCTTTGAAAAAGATACTTCAGCCAGATTTTTAAAGTTATGTGGGCCAATGAAAACAGCTGAAATGATGAACAACAGTTAAAATGTTTAACGCATTAGCACCTCAGACGACACATTAGCTCTTATGTCAGGGGTACGTAACTGAACATCAGTGTCAGCTGACATTTACCCTGTCAGCAGGCCTTGCCCCATCTGTAAATAATGAGCCCTGCATTGTCAAATGTGAGCGAAAGTATTGGCAGCGTGGAAGTATTAGGCTGTTATTTTAAAACGTCAGTATTGACCCTGATTTTCACTATAAGTTTCTCTGTATGCTAAGCTGACTGTTAATTCCCCCTCTTTATCTGTTTTAACCTGCAGATAAAACTTGTAACACATACCAGAGGAGTAGAAAGATAGAGCGAGAGGTAGGAAGAGAGATACAGTCCATCAGTGCAAAGTGATAAGAGAGGACAAACTTCAAAATCTTGATCTGCAGCCACCATGTCTGTACCAGAGATAGTCTGATTAAGGACATTCGGACAAATTCGGCATCATATCAGCCTCACAAAGTCAATATCAACACTAATTTCCTCTCATCCCCAACGACAGCGTCAATTCTAAACCAGCTACTGTCTAGAGTTTTAATAGAAATTCTGTTGTTTGTGGATAAAACAATCATAATAAAAACCTTAGGAAACGGTCACAGCTTTGTATGATTAAAGCAGCAGAGATTTTCAGAAATCTGCCAATTCTGATAGTTAACGTTCATGTCTGCTGACTCTGATACTGTGCTGATGATATCTTACATACCCGGTTCGAAGTTTAGCTTGCAATCCCGTCTTTACCTTAGTACCTGCAGTCACTCTGCTGTGTTTTACTCTATAAAACACACTTCTCCTGTGCACAAATCTATTTAAATTCTGCCAACACCGACAGCATATTTGTCAGTCAGTCACAGGGTCACAGCCCTGACATTTCCAGGTCTCCCTATTTCTGATTTTATTGAAGTTGCATGGAGGATATCAAGCTCGCTCTGATGTTACAAGCCAGTTGCTCCTGTCTCTCATTATTCAACCAGCGCTGTCAGAGATCAGGCCGCCACCTCTAAAGACTTCATGCTGTGGAAACTTGTGATGACCGCAGATTGCCCAGAGCAAAGCCTGGACCTGTTTAAAAGTCCAGGTGGAGCACAGTCCGGTAAACATGGAGATTTTTCAGATGCTTCAGCCACATTTCAGAAGGAATATTTGCTTCTGTGATTAAGTTGTCAGCCGGTGCGGTGAACATGCGTCCGTCACGTCCCCACATGATGGCTATCATCTGAAAGGGATGCTTAGTGTTACAGCATCAGCAGCTTTGATCTGATTTCAAAGAGGGGCCCTCATAACATTGACTTGGCCTGAGAGTGGTTGCATGTTTGAGGTGTGGACACCGCAGGGCTTGTCAGTAGAACCAACACAGCTGTGAGATTAGAGTGCAGAGACACTACAAAGGGACCACATCACATCCCCAACACAAAACAACCAACTGTCACCACAACCCCCATGGTGGGCAGAGCAGGCAGTGGGGTAGAAAACAAAGTCATTTCAAGTACGTCTTTCAACACTGAAGTTAAATTCTCAAAGCGTGGGCATAACTTTTTCAACACATGACAAAACAATTAGACTTGCAAAGCTGAGTGTGTTTAAAAAAACCTCAAAAATATGCTAATGTGTTTGTGTGGTTTGTTAGTATTATCATTATGATTGAGCAAAAACCCTATAAACTAATTATCTGGGAATTCTGACATGACATCAAAAAAGTTTCAGTAAATAATGAACTCAAAGTTGAGAAAATGGATGATATAACCATCAGGGTTTTTCCTGGCTCAAATTGAGGCAGAGGTGGCACCATCCTGACCATGCGCCACGACGTGCATGTATTTGTAAATTCAACCGATTCACTTTCTTTTACAGGCAACATACTTTAAGTTAAGAGTTCAAAAAGGAGTGTGACCATTATCATGTTAAAGCATTCATTTATTAAAACTATATACATACACAAATCAGCTGGCAACTTTAAATTGAAAGTACACTTCATCCACACATCTCGCAACCAGACAGAACATTTCAGCCTCCTCTTTTTCATTCTGTAGAACCTCCTCATGCACTCCTTGTAGTCCAAGGCCTCCTGGTCTGGTCCATCAACGGCCACCTTACAACAGACATCCAAGTGCCTCTCCTTCAGTCTGTTCCACAGAGGTGTCTTCACCTTAAACAAAACAATTCATCATGCATTAAGTATTTTTCAATCATATATATGTATACGCTGCAGTGTCCTCCCTAAAAAAAAAACGACAACCAATTATTTCTTAAACTATCTAAACTATGTTATTTTAGTTTTTATAACTTTATTAGTTGAGTGTTTTTAGGTACTACCATCTTTAATATACTTCTCCTTCTCTTCTGCTGCTTTGTGAATGGCTATCACCTCATGTCTTTTTAATGTGTCCAGCCTGTAGTTGGTTGATGGCTGTCTCACTAAGGAGGCAGCAATTGCCTGCTGTGTTGGGGCACAGTGCTTTTGGAATAAATAGCAGTGCATGCCTTCCTCAATATGCCTGAGCCAGGTAAATTGATTGAGCCACTGCTTGTCAAAGCCACTGGCTCTGTGTTTTTGAGAAGATCTGGAAAGAGGAATAAAAACCATGTACACGTCGGCTTTGCGTTGTTATGCTCCTAATTGGAAACTAATTAATTAATTACCCTCGCCTCGCCGACTCGTCCTGTCCTGCATTCTGACCCTCGCGATCACCAATCCCTTGTGAAGTACTTTCAGACCTGACACAAATTTCCACGTTGTCACCACCATGAATTATAGCATTTTAACTGCCTGTTACGTTTTTTTCTCTGCTGTGTTTCACCTGGACTCTTGACTTTTCTCCTCGCGAGGTCGCTTTTTAAAGTACTGTCTGAATTTGCCTGTCATAACTGCAACGCTAAAAACGGAGTAAACTTTTTTTTTAAATAAACACGACATGCTTGGATGCAAAAAAGAGAAGCCGTATTTACCTGTTTGTACCATCCGCCAGGGAAAATCAGGTCGCCGATAGCACCAACTAGCGGGAAAAAAACTTGAAAAAACATGATTCGATCCGTTTCTTCTTCGGTAGATGCTTCATGTCTTTCCGGTGCACTGCTGTTGATATAGCGCCTCTATAGTGGCGCAACGCTGCAACTGCAGTTAAAATACGTTGCTGCTGCATCGGGACACTAATCGCTCAATCAACACAGCTGGAGCTTTACGCTGTGTTGAGCGAAATCAATCGCTCTGGCTGGGGGCGGCACAAAATTAGGTGGAGGCGGCCGCCACGCAATTTTGAACGCAGGAAAAACCCTGACCATGTTTGAATATAGAATTATAACCATCTCTCATTGAGTTCAGCTACACAAATCTATCAAAGAAGACCGCCCCACTTCCAAACTGCTTGGTTAGTTTTAAACAGATGTGGTCCATTCACATACTACCCTTTTGCTCGATCTACTGCAAACTATAACCCTCTAAAAATGTGTCTGCTTCCTTCTCAGACAGGAGGGGGAAAAAGTACCTACATTTCATGTCTCCCTCCCAGGATAATAACCACATATCCACATAAAGCTCATAAATCTGTGAGCGAGATCAGATAGATCAGAGGCCTGTCTGGATGTCTGATTTGTGGGAACACAAAGCTTTGTTTCAAGATGTAATAAAATAACTGAGAAAGTGCTCTGGGAAATCACCTTTGAACATTTGGAGAATATTTTCTCAGTTTCAGGAAATTACCTCCACGGTTTGAAAGAGATTTTAAGTTCTCCTCTCTCACACTTTTTCTTTCACAGTCCAAGCTGAACATGGAGAGTTTGACCAAACCAGAGCTGCTGATGCTTTTCAGCATCCTGGAGGGAGAGCTGGAGGCGCGCGACCTGGTCATCGATGCCCTGAAGGTACCTGTTATGGATCTGATAGGATCTGTGTGGTTCTCTGCACCATATCTGTCTTTTTGAGTCAAACACTAATAAGGCTGTAAAGTCCCTTAGTGGTTGATACGTGCTGAGTCAACCAAAATTCTGATTGGTCAGATTTTTTTCCACGTCAATTTACAGTCTATGGTTAATTTCATCAGAAGGAATGTACCAAGTAGGGCTGGGCGATAAACCGAAAATTTACCAATACCAAAATTTACGACTATAACCAAAGACATTTTGCCCATGTCAATATATTTGGTGTCAAAACATAAATAAATAAAGTTGGTTTTGGATGTGTGCGGGTAGGCTACGGTCTCATGTCCCTTTAAGACGCTGTCCTACGTCAGAGACATGACTCCACCCCATCCAGTCTGTAACAAAGAGGGAAAGACAGGTGAGGAGATGGAGGACGGTTTAAAAGTTGTAGAGGCTGAAGTAGACAAAGTTAATGTGGGAGGAGGTCAGCAGCTTGTGGAGTAGTTATCGTTATCGAGGTGAACTGCTCAATATACTGATATGTTGATTTGAGGCCATATCGCCCAGCCCTAGTACCAAGTGGTAATGGGGGTGTTTTCAGAGCACCCCCATTTCACAGGTAACAGTCTGTCTCAGAACACTCCCCTTGTTTACACCATTTTGTATTTGAGGAGACCAGCTGGAGACAAGAAGATTGGAGAGCATCTACTGTACGTTAATCAACATCAGGAGGTTAGCTAAATATTTATATTTTAGCCTTTTGTGTTTGATTGCCTTCTTGTGCTGATATCAGTGTATTTTCACCCTACCAAGCCGTGCTCCGCTGAGCCGCGCCATCACCTGCCGTCAGTCGGAACCCCCATCCAAATTAGTTGAATTTTGGTCGACATTTCAGGTTTTAGTCAACCAAGAATTTCTTTGGTTGATTACAGCCCTAAACACTAAACCAATCTGGACCTGCAAAGTGACGGCTGAAAGCACCGAGTTTAAAGAAGTCATTTAACGAACTGTCAGCAGAAAGCTGCCAAACTGCTGCTGTGGCACGAAGCCACAACACCGACTCTTTCTTTTGTCGTCTGTAAGAAGAACTTCTTTTTCCTGCTACCTTTATTTTGACTCTTCATAGTCATGTTACAGGCCTGCTCTGCCCACTCAAAAACTCCTGTGGTAATTCATGGATTCCTGGTGAAACATAGTGGTCATGAATATACTGAGTTGCCGTCTCCTGTTTCGCATCAGTCATGCATTCGATCCAGGTTGTATTAGCCCCAGAGAACATAAAAACCCAGCAATAAATGATAAGATAAGAATCAGCCAAAAAAAAGTTCGATTCGATCCCAGTCATATCCTGTGAAAAACATCTCCGTGCAGTCAGAACCATCCATCTATTAGAGGAGCATTCCTCAAAATCCTCTTTGCTTCTGCCTCTTCCCTTTTCTCTTTCAGAAATCTAAATCGTAGGCAGATGCAACCCGGTGAACTTTCATCTACTCCAGTGTGTGGGTCACTCTAGCTCACATAGAGTTCAACAAAGTCCCCCTGACTCCAATCTGAGGTTGTCTTACTTCGGCCGGGTTAATGCTGACTTTCAATCAAAGGATTTTCAAGCTATTTTTCCACACACTGTGTCCTGCTCTGTCCTACAAGCCTACATGCTCAAGCTCTTAGTGACCACTTATAGATATCACCTGGAGGATGTTTTAAACAGTTTTAAACCTATTTTGGAAACACTTTGTGATTGTGAAACCATAAATAGACAAAAACTCAAGATAGGGAGTGAGTGCAGCAGATGCCTCGACCGTCTCCTTTCACACTGACAAAAAAGAAAAAAGCAGAATTTATCCTCACTGTAAATATTTCAGTTTTACAGCCGTTACTTTCTTGGAATGCAGTGCACTTTCCCGGTGTAAAATGCACCATTGAAAGAGCAAACTGGAGAGGCAGCCAGCGACCTAGAGGGCAGCCGCCTCAGAGAGCCTATGGCTGAATGTTCATGTGTTGTGTCTAGACCACATTCCTACAGCTCTCCTGGGATCTGGCCATCTAAGGCAAGAAGACTTACAGCGCGCTCGGTGCCCGATGACTCAATGTGAGCGAGAGTAGGAGTGAACAAATAAACATTCGCCTTAACTGGAGCTTGAGGGGAATATGGCTGTGCTTCTTTCATGCCACACACTATTAACTCATTCAGGCCTGTGAATGGATCAATGCTGCTGTGTTCACTCTTTCAAAGTGTCAACTAAGAGTGTAATTAATGAGCTGGAGGACATAAATCACAGGGAGGAGGTGAAATCTGATCCCATCTATGAAGGAAACTTTTTTTCCATGACTTCATACCTCTTTGCTATTCTTCTGTGAAGGAGTTGGCAGTGTGGAATTTAAGGTCTCGCCCTCACATGAACAAAGATTGTTATCAGTAATAAAACAACACTTAGTGTGAGCAGCATGGCTCCGTGGAGAGCAGAGTTTGACTGACATCTGTAAATAGTAAAAACAATTCGAAATACTGTCGTGAAGATGAACCCTAATGATTCCGGTGCTCTTCATGACGTTCACTGTCTCTCAGGTACACAAACGGTTAAGCCTCCATTATACTCTGGAAGTAGTGCCAATTAGCCAGTGTTAGCATGTTTACACTGTAAACTTAGAGGGTGAATGTGGAAAACATTAAACCAGCTAGCATCAGCGTGTGAGTGTGGTCAGTGTAAGCATGTCAGTTTTATGAAAGTGTCTGATTTCAGGTCTGTGAGACGGTCTGCTCTGACAGGAAGGCAAAAACATGTACTGATCTGCAACTTATTCTAGTGCCTGTCCACAACACTGTGAGCTTTTGAACAGCTGATACTGATAGAGAAAGTTAGCCAATGGTCAGTATATAAAGTTAAAACTTTAACAGTTTAACAATAATTACAGCCATTATTTCATGCACACTACGATCTTTGTTGACAAAACCCTGAAATATTCAACCAAAAATCAACTTATCAGGGGGGATTTTTCCCACTCTGATGGCAAACCCTTCTGCAGCTGGGAACGATGTGGCTCGGTGAGGTAAAAATGTATACTGTTATCAGCACAAGAAGGCAATTCTACACAAATATTATATTCAGCAAACCACCATACGTTGATTAACGTGTACGTTCTTCAATCTTTCTGTCTCCAGTGGGTTGGGCAAATCCAAAATAGTGAAAACAAAGGGGGGTGTTCTGGGACAGACTGTTACCTATGAAACGGGGTGCTCTGAAAACACCCCCATTATCACTTGGTACATTCCTCCTGATGAAATTAACCATGGACAGTAAATTGACGCGAAAAAAATCGAGTTGACCTATTAGAATTTTGGTCGACTCAACATGTATTGACCAATAAGTCGACTAGGACTTTACAGCCCTACTATGGTCTAATATACAGTCGTGGTTACCTTAACCCTGTTTCAGACAGATTTTGATCGACCAATCCCCTCTTTTATCTCAACTGAGGTCACAGGATCCAATCACAAACAGACACAACCTAGTTCATTTCCACATCACCACAAAAGTTGTAATTAAGGGCGTCCCAATACAACTTTACTTCCAATCCGATCTGATACAGATATTGTAGCCTTTAGCCGTGGCTGATACCGATATTAATCCAATATTGGCACAAACTTGTGAATGACAACTTTTGTATTTAGCTGCAACGACTTAAACAATACTGCCACATCACTCCTACTCCTCGCTAGTTTGTTCATACCTTAGTACACACTTTTGTTGTGATTACGTGTGCTCTGCATGCGGGATCTGGGCAGTGCCAAGTAGAGGTTCTGGAGCGGAGTCTGGAATGGACTGCTTGTATTGGAGTGCTGATATCGGAGATTTTAGAGGCAGGCCAATGTAATGCAATAGCCCTTTTTTTTTTTGCTGATATCGGACCGATATCCAATATTGGACTGATATCCAATAACAGTATCAGATCAGGATATCCCTAGTTGCAATAACAGTTCGAAGTAGTCCTTGGGGCCATACATCAAACGGTCACCTCTGTGATGTTCTCACAGGAGTGGAATTAAGGCCAACAACTCTCCTGAGAATCCTCATTTGTGAAGCCCCCACCAACCAGGGCCGGCAAATCTACTTGGAGAGCTGAGAATATACGCGGGCGACCTGCCCAGGTATCATGTTAGTGAGGGAGCGGACGTCATTCTTTAATTCTGCAGCCTTGCCAACGCTCTGCCACCTTTTTGAGTTCATTTTGTATCAGCAGTGAGAACACGGATGCATTTTTTAGGTTTCAGGGTGTAAAGAGGGGATGTAGGGCAGATGGTGATGTGATAAAAAAGTAGCTGAGTGTGTGATCATGACTTAAAGGCCTGACAGAAGATGCACTCTGCACAGTAATTAAAGAATAACTCCAGTCCTGTTGCTCATGCTGGCCTGAGCTGATGTGTCACTGCTACACTAAGTGTCATACGGGAAATGTTTGGCTCAACCACAAATCGCCATAGCAACAATACCACAGCTCACTTTTTCGCTTTTGATTGTTAAAGTTCAAGTCGGGCAACATTTCACGTGCTGTTTCTAGTTTTCTAGCTTTCTTTTTTTAGCACGGATGTTTTAAATTGAGGATATGAGGTTAATATTGTGGCTTTCTTCAGTTCTCTACATTTAATCACACAGAACTATCAGTGGCATTCATACTATCTGCTGCGTTTTCCACTCGTGACTCACTTCTGCAGCTGCTCACGCTGCGGCTTTCAAAAGGAAGTGAGTCTTTGGCAACTCGTGGATTTGGCACAAGAAGGACTGCAGAGATCCAGTCGTCCTTTTGGAAAGAGATACGAGTCTCTACTTTGAGTTAAAAGGGGACTGAAGTATGAAAATGAGACTTTGAATTAGCTGTTGAGTTTAATGTGGTGTGGTTGGAGCTTTCAAATGCCCGCAGACTTATCTCGCTGTGCTCTTTAGGTACGTGTTAAAAGGGCTGTTTTTGGCTCAGCTGATTGCATTTCATTCATTCATCGCATTTCATCCACAATCATGATTGTGAGGAATGCATTTCCTCAGACGCCGGTTACAGGGCATGCAGGAGTATCTCAGGGTGTTCAGTAATCTGCCCTAAGCAGCTCTGAAATGTATAGGACTCTGAGGTAAGAAGTTCAAATATCGTCTTCCCGCAGTATTATACAGGTTTCCAATCCAACATTGCACGATTGAAAGAGTCCAGGCATGTGTCAGCAAAAGATAAGCTGGATTTGACCCAGAGCAGGCAAGACACAAAGACGACTTTCCGAGCGAAGGCCCGCGGGGTGCCAAGAGAAGCAGCCAACAGTCAAAAGCATGAATAATGGAGGGAGACTGTGATGCATAGCAGACATGCTCTGAATGATTATGGGTTTTGTGCATGTACAGTATGATGTAATGAATAGTAGATTTGGGTGCTTAGTATTAAGTCATGTAAGAAATGTCTTTCCTCTAATCCCTCTTTCACTTCCTCGGCCCGCTGTGCAGCGCTGGAGGAAAACAGCCTCCCTTTGTGTTGTGGAAGTGCTCGTCTGTGTGTGCATTGAAAGCTGCAGGGAGAGTTGAAAAAGACACAGTCTGTGCTTATGAGGGAGCTTTTTGTTTGATACGAGCCTTCAGAGCTAAAAAAAAGAAAAAAAAAAACTGAAGAATTTAAGGGCCAATTATCCCGTAACTTGCTCTGAACTTGGGTTAGAACAAAACTTTACTCTTTTATGAACGCCATCTTACAAATGATTCTTCTGGATGGTATTGCACGAAAGTGTTGCGGGGATGAAAGTCAGAATGAGAGCGTATGTCCCGAGGCAGAGCGGGTCATAAGAATGGAAAACCTGATTCAAGCTTATTTCATCTCGGACTGTAGATTGACACATCAGAGCAGACGGTTACTGACAGGAACAGAGACGAGCTGGAGGCCGAGTGTGTCAACAGATTTCATCTTTGAAGTTTCCTTTTGAAATATCTACCTCTGAGGAACAAATCCTCCAAAAATAGTATGTTTTTTTAGTATTTATATTGATCATGAGAAGTTTTATTTCCTCTGGATTGTTTAGATCTGAAACCTGCAGTACAGTGTGTGAGCATAAAGGCTGAGACTTTATTTATAAGACACTCTACATGCACTCCAGACTTGTTGGGGTGATGAACGGTCACATTTGAATCCTCCTGGGCACTCTTGTGTTTTCCTGCTTCACCCCTCCACGCTGTTTGATCTGCTTTCTCAGCGTCCTCAGCGGACTACATCAAATAACTCCAGCAAAGCCTCACAGCCCTGCCCTCTTCACTCTGTTTCTGATGAGCTCATGTGCTGGGAGTTGTTGACAATCACAAAGTCTCTGAACTAGGTTGCAGCCATCAATCGATACTCCTTGATTCTGTCTTAATGGATTTACTTAATTGAATAATGAATCTGCTCTAATGAAGCCGGAGTGGAAGTATTCAACAATATGAACTTTGGTAATTCCAAAGTTTTTTTTTTCTCCAAAATTTGTCTCAATTTAGTCAGATTGCTTGTAATCAATCTAAAAAAAAAACTCCTTATTTGTCTAATACTAGTATCTGTAAAACCCTTACCACTGAGCAATAGACGGCTATTTGACGTCTAGGCTTTTAGACCTAATTTCAACCGTCTAGATTCTGTATATTTTTAGACAGAATTTAAATGTTGCACTTTAACCCGTTACTCAATAACTATTTATTCCAAAAAGCAACTGTGAGTTGCATAACTGATCTCCAAGTACTTAACCAAAATAATTATGACAGCCATTTAGCAATATACAGTGTAGTATAGATATAGCCCAGATTTAGATTTAGTCTAAACTTGGTCTAAATTTAGACGTTAAAAAATGTTCATTTTTGGACGTGTGGTAGCCTGATTTTAGACCAGACGTCTAGGCTACATTTAGACGTCTATTAGACCAAAAATGCTCAGTATGTAGACACTTTTCAGCTTCTGCCTGACCTGCATCATTTTTTCTATCCATGATATTAAGTGAGACGCAGATCATGCAGTGTTTCCCCTAGAATATTTTTCAGCAGCGGTGCTTCTGTGAGTGTGTGCGTGTGTGGAGGGGATTTTTCGCTGTTACCCCCCACTCTCTTGCCGCTCATGTAGTTACGCTGTTATGTTGATGTTACATTACGTCACCCGCGCTACTCGCAATATAGACCGTGTTTAAGCTCGAACGTTAACTTTCACGTTGATGGAGGAGGGTCTGACAGGATTTATTTCACTTGTTGATGACTCAAAACAAGCCGAAAATAACGTTGTTTGTTCTTGTGCCCACACAGTGTGAGTAGAAATCATAAGTGGCGCATTGTTATTGATGATCATGTGAAATTTCAGTAGCGGCGCACGAAATTCAGCAGCAGTGGTGCATAGCTACTGAATGAATGTAGGGGAAACACTGTCACGGGTGTTACTTTTCACACAGCTTTGCAGAAAACATCTAAAGTGAGCTGATAGTAGCAGGAATGGGCTTTTTAAGAAAGTCAGATTGATTATATATTAATGATCGATCATCAATTTAATCGAAATTGAAATTCTCTTTGAAATGCCCCCCAAAGTGTTGTTCAGGACTGCGCACCACACGCTCACTCACGCCTCCTACCTGCCAAGCTCCCAGCTGCCCATTAAAACGCTAAAAACGCTAAAATCGGGGACATTTTCAGGAATAACTTTAACTGGGGACAGGTCATCCAAAACGGAGACTGTCCCCCGAGATCGAGGACGTCTGGTCACCCTACACAGTTCCTCTTTGCTAGCAAAAGGTTAAGGTAGGTTAAGACTGAGAGCACTCTGAGGATTCATTGACCTCAGTCTGATGTATGTGGCTCAAGTGGTCCATCATTGGGGTCATTGTCGTGTTTTACTTGTTCGAGGCATCAGTGTTAGAAGCTAACCTCATCATTTTTCCACTCAAAATGGACCCATGCCACACTACGTCTTGCTGTCCTCATGTTTTTTAGATCAATCGAAATTTTGCTTGATCAACGTATTCTTAACGATCAGTAACCAATCATTGATAAATCCTGCCCATTCCTAGTTAGTGCCCTCTGAGCTCCCTGTGCAGCCCTGTTAAAATCATGTTAGCTGTTGTTATGTTGTCTGCTCTTATAAGTGACTTAGCTCAAGGTTTCTGTAACAATTGAAAGCATGTTAAGCTCATACTGCACCTTTGTCGACTGAAAGGGTTATTGGTGAAGTGGTGAACACAAACAGCTGTTGTTGACATGAAAACATAAACACTTCCTGCTGTTTTCTGCTGCCTTTTTCTTTTAGAGGAGAAACAACCTTAACTCCCTTTCACAAACAAAAGAAACACTCATAACTTTCTAAGACGCACCGAAGTAACAAAGAGTAGAGTGGAGAAAAATGACGTGTCCTTGAAAGAGCTGCACTGGAGCTGATAGGGAGGTTGGACCTTTAACTTGATACCAACTCAAGAGCAGAGCCTGACATCAGGTTCAGGCCAAGTCTGGTGAGTTAAGTGAAACAAGCTGTTTGGATAAAACATCTGTGGATCTTATTATGATGAAACTGACCAGCTTTGACACATCACATTATAAGAATAGAAAGTTATTTGTGAGTTTGAGTGCTCTTCACGGTAACTCAGGTATTAGCCTTTACATAATTGCTACTGTGGAGGATATTCTTATACCAGCTTTTCCTTCCTGGCTTTGCTGGCAGTAAGTACCCCTCCTAGACGAGTGTTTCCTTAATATGAGTGGGAAAAACACTGAGAGGCTTATTGCTAACATGTTTCTTACTCTTTGTTATTTAAAGCTCCTGTGAGGAACATTTTGGAACACTCCCACAAATGTGTCTCCGAAACATCAGCTTTCAAACTCGAGTATGGCGCACTCTGGGAGGAGTCAAGATTCACCGGCCTTACTCCGACACAGCATCATTATAGGTTCTTTAAAAAGCATGGATGGGCTAAATATTTCTCTGCAGGTCCATTTAAAGTCTTTATTACACTTTAAACTTCTCTACTAATCTGGGTATCAGTCATCAGGACCTCTGTCCTCACCCTGCAGGAGAAGACACAGTTCACTCTAATCTCTTGATCCTCTTTTGTTGAAACCCTCACAAAGAAGACACACTGCCAGCTCTGCAGCAACGTCACACACACACACACACACATTCACACACCTGATCCCCTTTTCACAGCAGGTTCAAGCGACATCTGCTCAACCTGAAATGTCTTGCTGCCATTATCCCCTCTTTTGTCTCGAGTTAAACAGAGACCAGGTCCGCCCTGCCAGAGGTTCAGTCCAGAGCAGCTGTCCTGCTAAAGATAGACAGACACACACCATCTGTTGCTCCTTCCTCTTGCTTCTTCTTCTCCTTCTTCTCTGGTATTCATGTCTTTTATTTCTGTAATTCCTCCTCTTCTCTTCCTCTTTTATCTGGACCCCTTTAACCACTTCTGTGTCGCTGTTATGAATCATGTGGTTTTAGATTCTGTCTTCTGTGAATGAGGAAGAAATTTCACAGCAAATAAGCGTAGGGGCGCCACATGAAGAACTACATGAACATGGGAATGTGCGTGATTTTTCTGGGTTTGCAAAACGTCTCGGTTTGCACATCGTTCCATTACCTTTTTCACGATCTCAGTGTTTGCTTGTTCACAGCAGCTGTTTGGTGAAATCTGTTTCTCTGCTAAAGGCGGTGAATCCTGCACTAATGGTTCTCAGCTGGTGAGTTGGCTCCAAAAAATGGGTCAAAGAGCCATTTCCACCAAGTCCTCAGAAGACCTTTTCGCTGTCTCTCTTTGAAAGTGTGTTTATGACACAGTGCATCTATTGTAGTTTGGTAATTTACCCCAAACTGCAACACAGTTTGTGGGGATAATGCAGCCTTAGTATGGGGGTCCCTGCCATCAAGTGACAAGTCTCAGAAATTTGGGTCAGGACTGGAATAAGGAGGTGGTGGATGGTAGGGCCCCACAATCATTGTTCTTGGATGGCACTTACCAGTCGGCATAGTCAAATAAGATACTTAACCACAAGTTTAAGTGGCAGGTTATGGAGAAAAATGATGACATCAAACAAGTCTGAAACGCGAAAACACTTACAACATTACAACATTCAAAACTCTTATTGCACAGAGTGAACAGCAGAAGCTTGTCTAAGCCTAATCTTGAAGGAAAGTTTATCCCATTCATTGTGAGGTGGCAAATATTAATCATGGAGGACTTTTCTAAACATAATTGTGAATGATAATTTATTGTCCTTCCTTTGTGGACAGTCCTGAATGTACCATAAAGTTTTCACAGTCATCACATGGTTATTATCATAGACAACAGCTTTTACATAAACACTGTAGGGGTGCTTCATTATGACAAAAATCAGCATCTTTTGGATTGACTTTGATAATCATGATTATTGAAAGTTAGACAATGTTGCTGCAGCCTCTCTCTCATCCTGCTCCCCTCTCTCCACCAGATAAGTTTGTATTGCTTTTGCACATGTTAAAGTTACAGCAGTCCGCCTTAATCTTAGCGAGAACTAGGGATGGGTGATAAATTATCGTTCACAATTTATCGCCAGAAAAATCCTCCATGATGAGTATTTGCAATCTCACAATAAATGCGATAAATGCAAGTTGATGGTTGAACAAATGTTGGAAGTGTTTTCACTTTTCAGACTTGATTGAATTCACGATTTTTCTCCATAACCTATCACTCAAACTTGTGGTTAAGTATCTTATTTGACGACTCCAACTGGTAAGTGCCATCCAAGAACAATGATTGTGGGTTTGTCCAGACAGAATAAATCAAAAACAGGGATTGGAATTTTATTATTATTTTTTCAAGGAATTTTTTGGGGGGATTTTTGCATTTTATTGATAGGATAGGATGAAATGTGGGGAGATTGAGAAAGAGGGGGGTGGACATGCAGCAGATGGTCGGGGCCTAAGTCAAACCCGCAATCGCTGTGGGGATCGTGGCCCCCATACATGGGGCGCACTAACCCTGGAATTTTCATTTTTTATCAGGACTTCAATAGTTATCACCAGAATGGCAAAACTTATCATGACACATTTTTTGCCTATACCGCCCACCCCTAGCGAGAACCAGAATTTCCTTGCTCTCCTGAACTAAAATAAAAGAAGGAGGAGCTTTTTTGAAGATACGGCAACACAGCAGGCAGCACTTGTTTGATCTTGATCATCATGGGTTTATAGTCGTTTGGCTTTACATGAATCATAAATGAAATTCAAACTGGATTTTTATGATGTTCAAAATTTAACAGATTTGTTGTCTGCAGGAGCTGAAGGGAACATCCTGATCAAACAGGACTGGTCTATTTACTGGTATCTGCAGTTAAAATCATTCATTCTCTTGGCAAAACATCCACACTCCCAGCAGTTCCTCAGCTATTATATTAAATACAGTAGTTGTTGCATTTTAAACTTGAATCAAAGTGCTGAACCAGCCAAGATTTCCATCTGCAGGGTCATCCTGCCAACATGGCAGCAGATGTCGGTCTTTAAATGTATATACAGCATCAATAACAGCAGCCAGTACCAGCTGAGGCTTTTCTGAGAAGCCAAGAGAAGATCCACGTTTCACAGCCAAGTGAAAAAGAAGAATATTCACCCCAGTCTCAGAACTGAGCCAAGTAGCTCCGCTGATTAACATCGACTCAAATACATAAAAGTGAATCGATTATTGACCGCCTTCTCTCTCCTCTTTCTTTCTTTCTTTCTTTCTATCTCCTCAGGCCCAGCAGAAAGAGCTCTTCATCCAGGAGCGCTACGGCAAATACAACCTCAGTGACCCTTTCCTGGCTCTGCAGAGGGACACCGAGGCTGTCGGGGGACAGATCGAGGACTCGGGCTGTTCTTCCTCCACCTCCAACCCTCTGGTGGTTCTCAAACTGGTGGTGAGCCACTGCAGGAGGATGCAGGAGAAGATGCTGGCTCAGCTGGCTGCAGCAGAGAGCAGGCACAGGCGGGTGAGTCTGCGTGTGTGTGTGCATGTGTGTGTGCGCTTCTTAATTGGGGAACAGAAATAAATGAGCTGGAAGCAAAATTAGAGATAAATGAGGCCAAATATTCTTAACTGAAGAAGAAGAAACTGTTCTTACTCAGTGTGAACTTTTAACAAGATGCACAAACACATTCAGAGTTCAGGGTGGAGAAATGAGACTGTGTGAAAGAGGAGATAAACCTCAACAACGTTTTCTATCTCCTAAATAGTCTGCATCAAAATACAACAATAACACAAATAAAAAAACGAGTCCCACTGCGTCTGTTGAAGCTAAACAAACAAACTCCCTCATCACTTTAAGCTTTGTAAAATCACAGAGTTAAGGCTATACTTTTCTCCGAGGGCGGAGCTGAACATGACAACAATTTAGACGACATAAACTTTGTTTTTCTAAGCTTAGCTGTAATCAGCATTTCTGCCTCCGTTGTAGTAATCATCTCGCTGCAAAATAACAATCATGAGCTTCACCAGCAGGCGGAACAAAGAAACTCATGTCGAGGGGTTTCATTCCTGACTCTGTGCCTCCCCGCTGTGTTTGCTTTAGGTCATTGCAGACCTGGAGGAGGAGAGAAGGAGGCACGCAGAGGACACGGCAGAGGGAGACGATGTCACCTACATTCTGGAGAAGGAGAGGGAGCGTTTACAACAGCAGGTGCCCTCACCGTGTCATGAACTTTCAAAGTTTTAAAAGTGTTAAAAAAAAAAGTTCTTATTGTGAAAAAGTTTTCTTGTCTCTGTCCCTGCAGCTGGACTTTGAGCGCAGCCAGGTCAGGCGGCTGGAAAAAGAGCAGCGGCGGATCACTGACCAGCTCGAAGAAGAAAGAGCTCAGCACAAACAGCTCTCCTGCGCTTTGGCCAAGGAGTGCAAGTGGGCAAGCGCCAGAGCCCTGGAGGAGGGTCACCGGCTGACTGAGCTGAGCCGCAAACTTGACAAGGTATTTTCAATCCGTGCTGGAAGATTTATTGACTCTTGTTTTTTTATAAATGTGAGGTGAAGTTGGCACTCTGTTTGAGCGTGGTCTTCCTCGCGCAGGAGAAAGAGGCCTGTCAGGCTCTGAGAAAGGAGCTGGAGGACGAGAGGAAGAGAGCTCTGAGGATGGAGGCGAGGGTGGAGGAGCAGCTGGCCGAGTTCGACACGGAGAGAGAGCAGCTTCGCTCACGTTTGAAGAAGGAGGAGGCTCACTGCTGTCAGCTTCAACAGCAGGTGTGAACACATGAGTCAAACCTACATGATATATCATGAGGAGTCTGTGTGTCGCCCACAGACTATATAGAATGGATGCCGTCTGCCTCCTGGATGGGTGAAGCCACTGTGAGAACAGCACCCCCTGGTGACGGGCTGCAGTATAGGTCATAAATCCCGCCTCCTCCAGCAAAGTTTATGGAGTGTGGGCAAACTTTAGAAATTTATTAAACAGAATATAAATGTTTCTCCCCTCTAGCTGTGATGTTGACATGTAGTTACTATCAGACTGGTTTGTGCTCAAGTTCTCTTTTTTCTGTACAGCTCAATTATTAAAAGTTATCAGGGGGTTCATGTTTTCTATGATTGACACTTGATACAGCCTATGGGCGTACGAGGATTGCGTAGCTCACCCGGGGGGATACTCTCTCGCCAAATGCGTACAACGCTACTGCACAAGTGGTGGAGTGTGTACAACACTACTATGCAGTGTTGGTTTCAGGAAATGGAGAGAAAATGCAGATTTACAGAGAGCTTTTCGGTTTAATCCGTATACTAGCGGGAGGCGGAACCAAGTTGTCCATAGTATAAACAGTCTATGGTGTCACCTGCCTGTACAACATGCAAATGTTACTAAAAGACTCAAATACCCAGATCTGCCTCTAGTTTGTATTTCATATATTAAAAGGTAAGGACCAACCAACAATTGGCACGGCCGATAGAATTGGCCGATATTTAGCGTTTTTACAATAATCTGCCGTTTTTCCCACCAATAGCCAATAAAATCCGTTAATATACTAGTTTGTTCAGCTCTTAAACAGCCGCCTCTCTCCACCCAAAGTCACCGCTCTTGGCTGTGTAACAATGTCCCGCCTACAGTCCCCACTGATTAGCTACACAGACAGCCAATCAATACTCAAGCTTCTAGGTTTAGCTCCACAGCGAGGGGGGGAGGAGAGAGCTCCATGAAGCAGCATGAGACTCCTGTTTCTTTCACTGTTGTTTATGAACACCGTAGAACTAAAACCTCAAGTAAACAAAACAAAATCCAACATAAGCTATTGTAATCATTACATAAATAGCACTGTTTGGCACTATAGCTTATATAGATAAAGAAATACACAAAGTAATACAGATCACTTTAGCTTGCTAATCAACAAATGGCAGTTATTCCCAAGAGGCAATCTTCACAGTCAAAAATAAGATTCTTCAAATTATTGAAATTATATAGTAGTAGTATTCATGAAGTTTATTTAAAAAAAAACTACAATTATTATTTATCACTCATGAATAACATGTTCATATCTGAGCAAATCACCTCATTATTTTACATGAATTCAAAGTCAGTTTGAGTGAATTTAACTAATCCTACAGAAGGGGAATAAAATGAGCGTGCAGTTTACAGTTTCCACCTTTGACTTCACCTTTTTCTGCGTTTGGTTTCAGGTGCAGGAGCTGAAGAGAAAGTTTGGGGAGTCAAATATGATGAAAAATGTCACAGACACGGTTCCAGCTCCAGGAGAGGCAGAGAAAAAGCAGTGGGCCGCCAAAGTCCCTCTAAAGAAGACAAAAGCAGAGACTGTTCAGATCGAGGACTATGAGGGAGACAGAAACCACCAACCGGTGCAGCCAAATGTCTCAAACGGTCACCACTGTGTGACGGAGACTAACGGTCACCAGAGTCCGGACGACAGTTCAGAGAAGATCTGCCTTCAGAATGGGAGTGAAAGTCAAACCCAGACGTCACCCTCTGCCCTCTCTCCGTCCTCGCCGTGTGCGTCTCCCCTCCTCAACAAACGCCAACAAGGCAGCTCGAGCCCCGCTGGCTATCAGTCTCCGTACCAGGCCGGGATTAACCAGCGCTTCCACGCAGCTCGTCATAAGTTCCAGGGTACCGCAGACCCAGAGCCCCAGTCTCAGCCATCACAGCCCTCGCCAAAGGACGTCCCACCTGCGACCAGCAGCTCCCCCACAGAAACAAGCCCGGTGAAGCAGATAGCCCGCAGCACGGTCACTCAGGTCCTGTCCCGCTTCACCACAGCCCAGCAGAGCACCAGTCCAAAACCTACAGCACCCAACAACTCACCCTTCGGTACTGACTACCGCAGCCTGGCAGCGCCTTTGTCCCCCATCATCGGGAGAGCCACAGGAGCGCTCGCACAGGGGATCAGATCACCCACCATCGCCCGCGCAGACAGGGGGAACCCTCCACCCATCCCACCTAAGAAGCCGGGACTGGCCCAGGCTCCTCCCTCTCCAGCTCCAGTCCCCAGGTCGGGGGGCCATTTCTCAGACAGCGCCCTCTCAGGCAGCTGCGGCCTCACCTCCAGCCAGGAGGGGGTGAAGGAACTGGACATGGTGGTGTCTTCTAACTAACCAATCACATGGCTCGTTGATACACGAGTCAGCTGCTGCTCTGCTTATGACAGGATATATATCCCCTGTTGTTGTTGTTGTTGTTGTTGAACAGAGGTCCTGTTAAACACTGTAATAATTTATAAGAGTTAAAATACATATACGCTTGAGGCACTATATTAGGTCATCTTTTATGGTATTAATGAAATAATAGTTTCATATTAACTAAAGGCGAACCTCCTGTCACAGTGTAGTAAGACTTTTTTTAATCGTCACAGAAACCAAAGAGGACAAATAACCCCCACCTGAAAAAAAGATTCTTTACCGTCTGTTTTTATGCCGCCTGTACAGTCAACAAATCCTGTAAATATTACCTGTAAACTGCATACTGTAAATATATCTTAAGACCAGTGCAACATGCAGCTCCTGGACCAATGTATGCGTGTTATTTTGATACAAATGTATAGCTCATTTTATATAAACCTTTCTTTGTTATTAATGTATAAAAGTTTTACACAGCAGGTCATCTAATCTAATCAATATAGTGCTTATTTTTTCCTTTTTTACATATTACTTCAAATGTATAGTTATGTAATCTTGTAGACTCAGATTATATTCGGGATTTATTTTGCATTTTCTTATTCAAAGTAAATAAATGTTTTGGTAGACGTCTGTCATTTATAAGGAAACCCTAATAAAACAATAAAGTACTTTTATCAGCCATGTCTCTCAAAGTATCACTCAACATCACTACTGGTGATCTCTGTTTTATCAGATTTTTATCAGTGCTGTACATGCTGGAAAGTGACGGATTAAATAAATTAATCCCAGGCGATTTTGTTGTCTACATTTCTTCATTTACAGGAATTACATATTACATTGTCAAACAAATGTTTTCAACTAATAAAGTGGTAAAAAGTTAATGTAGTGCAGCAATTAAATATCAATTTCACTTGCAACTTATTTCTTAAATTAACAAGTGTTATCAGTTAAAAAAAAAGTCTTAACATTTGTCACAATCACAGTATTTTATGAATAGTAAACACTCATTTACCAAACACTTTTATTAATAGTACACAAACTTTTAAGTAGTTTTGCTAAAAGATGACAAAGATATGTTTATTAAACTTGAAAATAGTTGCGTTGAAAGCATCACTAATGTGGAGGAAAGTGTTGCTCGTGCTGTAATCCCATAAAGTGTCCAGTAGAGGTCAGTGTTTGATAGATAGCACCACCAACTAGCCCACAAACATGATGGGGGAAAAAAAGAGCAATCCTTCAGTGATAACAGCTCATTTAGGAGGTGATATTTTTCTCACATGCATTAATAAAGCATCAGTTTTAAAGAGCTGCAGTATGAATAGTCAAGCATTAACATAAAAAGTTATGTTTACTAAATATGTACACCACTATTGCGGGTATATTAGTGAAATTTAGGTCTACTGTCATCAGAAAGGGACATTTCTTTATTCGTTTAATGTTGCCTGTTATATATTTGTCTGTCTTGGTCAGCCTGTGGTCTGTAACAATATTTGGAAGTTGCTTTTATTTGGACAAAAGTCCTGTTTGAATGGGGTGATCATATACTTAATCCCCAAAAAGAGGACACTACCACACCAGGCGGAGTCACGTGTAGTAAACTTTGAGGGTTTTTCAGGTCAGGTAGAGTGTTTTTTTCTTTCCAGTTAGTCCATGCTACACAAATACAAAACTTCTATACAAAACCTGATATTTGAAGGATTTTATAAACTCCCCATGACAAGGCCAGACAGCCCCCCAAAAGATGACATGTCCCGGTAAAAGACGTAAGGTCACCCTATGTTTGAACTGTTTTTCACTGACTTGCATCAAATGCAGTCAGCTCTCTGGAAGCTGAAGGTGAAACTGAGCAGCCAGGTAAGTTTGTAATCAAACAGGTGCTCTACATGCAAAAAAAAAAACAAAACTTTTTTTCGCCAAAGACACATTCAAATGTGTCTTTGTCTCGCGCACACTCCTGCTCTTGATCTCTAATGGGAGGCTGATGTAGATATACGTGCAGCAGCACACGCTCCGTCACTCTAAATCCCCCTCTCTGTGGTCGGGGAAGGGTTGGCTGGTTAGCGGGACGGGTCACCTCTCCTCCGCTCAGCTCACCTAATTAACATTCCAGTGTAGGACAGCAGGGCCGCATCTCAAATCCAGCACAGGCATGCCTGCTCCCCCAGCAAAGCCCCATCTTTCTCAGCCTCCATAAACACAGGCTCAGGTTGATGGGCTGTGAGGGGCCTCGGTCCTCAGCGCTGTCACCCACAGTATGGCGGCTGCTCGCTCTACTTTAATGTCCTCAGTTAGGAGACTTTAACAGTTTCAAACTTGTGTGGTTGTTGGGAGAACCAACTGTCACTGGGATTTCTGAAATTTTGTCTTGGGGTAGCTCAGAGACTGTATTTGAAGTCTTGGCTGATTGATCTGGAGTTTCTTTATGCACATTAAAATTAAAACGCTGACTTAATATTCCAACTCTGACTTCAGAGTTTTTGGCCCGCTTGACTTGGATAAAAATTAAGCCTTTTAAAACTTCTATTCAAGCGCGGGGTCGTGCCCCTGAATGGATCTTGGCTGTCCTTGTGTTATGATTCCATATGACAAAAGAGCGAATAAATTACTATTTTTCCATACGAATACATCTTTAAGAAGTAGATTACGTCTCTCTCTAAGTGCCCGAGCTCAGAAAGTTGGCGAATAATCGACGTTTTTTTCAGTTATAGATTTGTCGGATTTTTCCACTATGAGGTCTTTGAGAAAAGGCCTGTAAAAATGATGAATGCTTTGATGAACATGAACTTGAAAAAGGATTACTGAAGCCACGTGTCGCACACAACGCCACGTTTGGTGAATGAGATGACAAAACTGAGGTCAAGGCGGGGGCACGTAACCCATCATGAGTTTAAACCGTAAATTTGCACCCCTCTCTTTTCAGGCCTGTTGTATAAACTGCAGTCTGTCTGGCCATCAATTCACTTATCTGCGTCAGCAATGATAGCTCTTACAGCACTGGTCCCACATCAATGTCATAATCATCCGAGCGCCCCCTCTTATCCTCTTCCTGCTCTCTTTTACTTTCCTCTCTCTCATCTTCCTCTCTTCTCCTGTGTCCAAATTTAGCCCAGACCATGAGATGAGCCAAGAAAAAGGAGCTCAGGCCCCCGATACTGAGCCTCTAAAAGACCACAGCTGGAGTTGGCTGAAAGCAAGACACAAGGAGAGGGAGGGAGGGAGGGAGGGAGGGCAGGATGACGAGCGTTATCGCCGCCATCACCTGCTCCGTGTAAAGCAATTTGTCATAGAGCTGTCACTGTAATATCCATAGCTTGTCCTGTAGTTGAGAAAGACAGGGTCACATGTAATGAGGATACAAGTGTTGCTCCAAATCCAGACATGACATAACCTAAGGACAAACGGCTTGGCTATGTGTGGGTTTCAGACCATGTGAAACAGGATGACAGGGGGAAAGGACATGAGCCTACATATAGATTTGAATATGAATCAGATGAAGGTATTGTAATGTCTCATATTGACTTCAGGACGTCCCGTATGAGATGTTCAGTATTTTTCTGCAGCAAATACAGTTTAATGGACTTCAAAGTCGTCTTCTTTGGATGAAGAGCTGGTTTACAACAACAACACGAAACTTGAAGAACTTGACTTCTAATCAAGACTTCTGCTTTGTGGTGAAAACAAACCGGCACTTCTCATGTACCTGCAGCCACTGGTAAATCAAAATATAATTAACTAAAACTATTTTTTAGATTTAGATTTAGATTTCTTATCAGTGACAACTTCACCAAACTTCACTTTAATAGGTTTTTCTATCTCTTCAAAACGAAACCACTGAAAACGATGTAGTGCATATGTCAAGCCAGTAAGTGGCGCTGTAACGCTGCACAGGAAATGCACAAAAGACAGAAGAAGAGTACAGAGCATGCGTGTAAAAGTTGTTTTGGCCGGACACACGCAGGTGCTACTAAAGAGTTGCGCTGTGTGTCACATGGTCGTTTCAAGAGAGATGCAGATAGACATCCACATGGAGCTGAAATGGTAGTCATTAACAGATTTATGCACTGATTGGCAAGAAAAGCTGGAAACGTCATCTCACGCTCAAGCCAAACGCTCTGTCAGCTCTGTACACCGAACAGAACATTACAGAACATTATCGCACTTCTGAATCTCCTAAGACTAACCCTAACCCGACAGACGATGACGTTTCACAGCTATAAGGAATAAGCAATCGAAGCCCATCACCTCTTAGCCAAAAAAAATTTCACCTCCTGCAGGAAGGGGGGGCCTACGGTGTCCTGGAGGCGCGAGACATGATAGAGAGGAAAAATCGATTTTACGATTAAATTTTTTTTTACATTGTCATAATCAAATAATCCGATTACAATTTAAAATCAATTAATCGAGCAGCCCTAATACAGATATCTGCTAGTCAGTACTAACATGTAATCCACTTAATATAACCTAATGACAGTGGAAGCAAGAGCACAAACTTTGTTGATGGTCTTTTCGAACAGTCAGAAGCACATCAAGTAAAAATTTCCAATAACTGTAAAAGGCACAAAAAACAACTCAAAGAAGACTACAGGGTTGAGTCTGGTGAACAAGTTAGCTAAAATGACACCTAGCAGGTAAGCTAGCATTAGTTTGAGTTCGTCAACAGCTAACAAGTTACCAAAGGTGTTCAAAATATACTCTTGTGTTTAGTTTTTTATTTTTATTATCCATTTTCAATTCAGGTGGTAATTAATCAGGATGAGTAAAAATGATAGTTTTCTAAATTACACACAAATGTGCAATCTAACAAGCATCTCTGTAAATGTAATAAATGGAATTTTTTCTCTTATTTCAGCATCAGATTCTTTATTTCTGCACTGATCTTGTATAGTAACATGATACAGTCTGTTTTAAACATAAGAGACTTTTCCTTACAGGTAATGTGTAACTTGGCATCTTGAACCAAACTTAGTGTTGGTAGGCTCATTTATTCGAGCTTTACCGCTAAATATAACTAATTACATTTCTTTTAGACTAAAGTGATCCTCAATGAACCACATTCTGGTCCAGTTTTCATTCACAAAGACACTGTTAGCCTACAGTGCTGTCTGTGCAGTGGTATTTATAGGCAGCTGCATTGTTATTGACCTTTACGGTAGGTCTTTAACTAATGCCTCTGGGCTTTGCACTGATTAAAATGACCTCACACCCTCATACACACATACTCTACACATAACAGCTTGTCGGTATCCATCTTTACCTGCTAGAGACCACCAAGTATGTGTCCAAGACGCTGCAGGGATATGGGTCAGATATGTCCTTGAGGTGGGGTTGTATGTTTCCACAGCGGCTCAGGGAGACCGACCTGTCTCTGGATCAGGACGGTTGATATGAGCTGAACTACAAACACGCGCTCCGGCGGCATTACAGGAGAGGTTCGAGTGCCTGGAGGTGGCGGGAAGTATCATTTACCCCCAGCACCTTGAATTGTATGGCATGAAGGTAACTTTTGAGACGTTATTAATCATTTTGGAATGGAAAGGGACTATATGTAGCACCAAACCAAACATGGAGAAGAAGGCATCACAGCACAGGGGAGATCCAGACCTCAATAAAGTTATCTCCCTGAATGGATCAGAGGCTGCTCCTGCTGTCCCAGTGATCAGAGCGTCCTGGTAGACAGGATTTCATCATGTAGCTCAAATCCTAATGACACATGAAAGCTGCAAGACGCTCGTGAGATCTTAGTCATTTTGTTTCTTCATTGCGTCATTATGCTACTCTAAATTATGTATTTATGTGCAGATGCCACTGCATGTTCTGAAAGAAGAATCTCTCCTCTGCAGCTTTTTGGGATTGTTTTCTCAACAGAGTTTGAAAACTTTTGCAAAGCCCAGAGGAAAAAACTTGGATGTGAATCAAGCTCTTTCATTATACTGAATATTCAGCATAATTTTGAAACAGTATTTGAGAGTACTTCTTAAACGTATGTGTCTCAGACAGTAGCAAAGCTGTTTGCATGAGATTAATTCTGCAAAAGAACATCCACAATGCACCAGCAGCCATATGAAACACTGTCCAAAATGCCCCCTGGGAAGGATTACTGATCTCTATGGAGACACAAAGTTCCTGTTTAATGATGTGTCAAAGCATGACAGCTTGACCCCTCATAGCTGCAGCTCTCCAAGCAATACTTTCTCTTCTGCACTCATGATGGACATCAGGGAAGACCTACAGACAACTTTTTTTTCTTTATGGAAAGGCATAAATTTAATCAAATAAAGACCAGTATTACTATACTTTTGTTTAATCACTGTTAATGATTTAGCTGCACATATTAAAGAACTGCACACAGTTCAGGATACTTAATGGATCACACCGGCAGCAAGCATGAACCGAGAACCGCCACTGCTGCAAATAAAAAAGAAAGCAAAAAAAAAAAAAAAAAAAAAAAAAGAAGTCACAACGGAAGTTACTAATGCAACAACAACAAAAAACCAAACAACAAAAAAAACAAAACAAAACAAACAAACAAAAAAAAAACGTGCAGATTATAAAAAAGCCACAACGGAAGTTAACATTTCAAAAAAAGTGATGATGGTTTCTTTTTGAGACATGAAGTTTCTTTTTTCTATTTGCAGCAGGCTTCGGTTTCTTTATTTTTGCATTCTTTTTTATTTGCAGCAGTGGCAGTTCTCGGCCACCATATTCTGTAGTGACAACCCGGTTCAGTGATCTGACTCCACATCCCTGTAAGATCGTTTCTGTAAGACACAGCAGGACTGTCTCTGGCTCTGCCTGAGAAGTTGGATGCGTTGATTTTTACGCAGCAGACTTTACAGACGGGAACTACTTTCCATCAAACTAAATATATACATCTCCTGTCCTGCTGTCTGCTGCTCTACATACCGCATATCCAACTCTCTGACAAAGGGGTGGAGGTGAAGGGAGGGAGGGGGGGCACAGACAGCTGACGCACCGCGGCGCAGTAGCGCTGCTGTTTCTGTGCGCATCTTCATTTCGGCTGTGGAGGAAAAGGTGCGCACACTGCCCGTCCCATCCGCGGATGGATGTCTTGCATTTAAGTCATATGTGATTTGAACGACTTTAAGACTTTGTTATCGCTCTGATTTTTGATTCATAACCCCCTACAGGGAGATTTGACGAAATTAAACTCGGTGCGCAACAGCTGAGGAGAAAAACTGAATCCTATAAAGACCATAAGACACTCCGGACACAGAGGACTTATTCTGCTCATCGGCGAGGAAGACTGTGGATGTACTGACTGAAGATCTATCTGACAAGATCAAACAAGCAGAAGTTCACTGATGGAGTTTTGAAACAACTTTTCCTCTCGTTTTTTTTTTGTGTGAATTTTTCCAAATGATGGACTGCAGACTGTCGCCGCGGACTTTCACACCTGACTCTGCACCTCTCGCAAACACATGAAAAGGAAGCGTCATGTTTTGTCTGATGAAATCTCGGAGCTTAACCAGCAGCAGCAGCAGCAGCAGCAGCAGTAGGGCTATGGGGATCAGACATGGGAGGAAAAATCCGTATCACTCCAAACCCAGCTCTAAAATCTACTCCATTTTTATCCTGCTGCTGCTCATCTTCACACCCAGAGTGGACTCATCGTGGTGGTGAGTGAGATCTGTGAAGTCTAGCTCATCTAAATCACAGTGAAATCCTTTAAGGACCATTTATGAATTTAAAAAAAATGAAGCAAAGAAAGCAAAAGTTAGTTTATCTGATTTACTATCACTTTGAGAATAAAAAGAACCTTTCATCCAAACTTTTTGATCAGTTTTATCCTCTCAACAAAACCTAATAGTCCCTAGAAAACTCAAAATCTTCATCTTGATCCGTGTTTCTGTGCTGGTGTAAATTTCTCAAACATCAGTGCAGAGTGTGTGTCATGTGTTTCATGAAGATTTATGGTGTTGGAGTGGGGGGTGTCTCCCCTATCCATCCATCTTGCCCAGAGGAAGTGGCAGGTGCAGGCGCTGGTGCATGAATAAATGCTCCTTGATGATTTCTCTTGAGGTTTAAAATGCCTGGAGGTGGAAAACACACACTTAAACACACACACACACACGAACACACGCACACACACACGGGGGTGTAAGTAAGCACCCACCCCCTCTATCCCACCCACCTGAAATACTTGTTCTCATGTGTCAGAGAAATTGTATTTGATGTGGACTAAATAACCAACCGCACTGAAGCAGACCGTTGAGTTACGGCGCAACAATCAGACTCTGTTAGAGAGGGAGAATTAGATTAAAAATGCACCCTTTGTAAATAATGTTATGAATTATAATTTCCCAAGAGATCCAAATTAATTTTTATCCTATTTGCAGTTGTGAAATCCTGTTCCTGTGTTCTGCAAATACGAGACAAAAATGGGATTAAATCTGTGTGAAACATTTGGATTATTTCTGCTCATCTAATCCTTGTTTGTACAGTTAGGGACAGTAAGATTGTTGTATGTCTTGCTGTCTCTTCCCTCTCTCTCTCCCTCTCTCTCTGTGTCCTCTTGGAGACAGTCAGGGGTCTTTTGGCACAGCCGGTATGTACAACGCACAATAAACACCAGTAGTGCTTCTGCTCTGCTTTACTGCTCAGGCTGATAGTCCCCGTCAGATCGGGACGGGGAACAGCCATAACGGGAGTGGAAACTGCCTCCTACGCCCGTTTCTGTCTCGGTGGCCAGGCGACACAAATGTGGCTGCGATTAGGGACTATAATGATATCCGGATGGAGAGTGGAGCGTGCAGGCTTAGAGGGGAGGAGGGGTGGGGGTGTACGGCTAATGTGCGAGGCTTCATTGGAAAGAGGGAAAAGCCTGAGCGGTCACTTGCACTGTAGATGACTGTCCTCATGTCCTGTTGATAAGAGGCCCCCCACTGTCACAATAGCAGCAGCATGTGATCGGCCTTTTTAAGAGTTGCTCCAAAGTCGGGGATTATGTGTGTGAATGGAGCAGGAGGCAAAAGGCCTGTCACAGGGGAGCGAGTGGCATTTCACCAAATGTGAGGAATTTCATAATCTCTTCTACATCCTGAATTTACAGACGCTTTCACACACAGACTCCAGACGATGTCAGGACATCCAGGACATCCTGACATTTTCTGGACTTTCACACGTGTGCCTCACAGAGGGAGATTATCTGCGTCAGATGTGATCAAAATATTGGGTCTGGGTGGTGGCGGGGTCATGGCAGCACACATGACATGCATGAAGACTGATTCTACGCTGATAGTTTACTGAGAGTCCATCAGGATGAAAAGATTTGGACATCTGCGTTCACACATACACCCTGCTAAGACATTGCCAACAAAATTTCCAGTGTGATGGTTTTTGTTCGGGACGGGTCAAAGAGTTTAAGTAGACTGGGATAGGAGTTCTGACTTTTATGAGGCTCAACAAGCAAATGGTCGGAGTCTTGTCCAGAACCAAACTTTGTGGTCAAAGTTTCACAAAATAGCAAATACACAGAACTTCTCATTTCTTCTATTTTGAAGACTTTCATGAGAAGATTTGTGCCGAGAAAGAGCTATGATGGTTATGTTTAAGTGGACTTCTATTAATCAGCCTAAACTGGGTAAAACCCTTCACATAGACACCATAATCTGAACAGACGTCTGAGAAAAACATCCATATGCCCTTTAGTATTACGATCATCATATGTAAGTTTATGCCTGATCTGATTTTTTTCTTCCCGTCTGCCCCAAATAACAGAAATTATGGTAGAAGCCAATAAAACTTGTCAATAATAGAAACAGTTGGTGCTGAAGGTTCAGACTGAATCTGGGATTGTTGAACATCTCAAAAGATTTAAAGTTTAGTGTATAAGGTATATTAAAATTATTTTTTTGTCACCTTAAAGTGAGCTGTCTCTCACATGTTTAACAAAAGCTTTCGTTGGACTGAAACCAGACTTTGAAAAAACACGTCAACATGTTAGTCTGACTGAAATAGCACGAAATTAAACTTCTCATAAATGCGGTTTGGGTTCGATTTTCTCTGTCATGAATACTCTCCTATATGACTGAAACTGGCCTCAACATAATCTAGAGTGTGCATGCTGGGCTGTTGAAGACGACTCGCATAAACGCATTGCTGAAAAGCTGAGGAGTAAACAAAACCTTCATAAACGAAGGATGTAAAAAAAGGCAAACCTGTCATATTATATGAACAAAAGGTTCAGAGCTGTAAAAGTCACAGTTTTCAGCAGCTTAAGTGTTTTGTCGATTGTTTTGGTAAGTATTTGGTCAACTGGGAGATGACCTAGTAGTAATGAGCAGGCGGCATGTTGTCACACTCACCGTAGTGGAGGCAGATCTGCTCCTATCAGTCAGTACGTTTACATGACGCTTGAAAAAAAAGGAATTATTGCCTTACTCTGATTAAGACCAAACAACTGAAGTGCACGTAAACACCTTAGTCCGACTATAATCAAAGTTTGAGAGCTCTGATTGGAGTTGAAGAACTCCGATTACACACCCAGATAATGCGATTGGAATTAGATTTTCTCTACCATTTAACCAGCACAGTAGAAGTATGATCAGACAACGCATGTGCGCTTGTGCCACACCTCCGTAACCCCGGAACAAAAACACCAGAGAAGAAGTGGCACAGACATCTTAAAAAAGGTCCAGAAACAGTGCAGCTGAAAAGACCCATATTGTATATTGTACAGTATTGTATTGTACATTGTACAGTGGATGTTTAGTATGTTAAAAATGTTGCCTCGAGGGTTTATGTGAATTTCGGACAGTTTCTTTGTTAATGTTAAACTTTCTTAATGTTGGTTGACAATAATTGGTGAACTGCCCCTTTAACTTTGTTATGAACCGTATGGTGTTGGATCTACGTCTGCAGGTATATTGGAGCCCTGGGTGCTCGGGTGATCTGTGACAACATTCCCGGCCTGGTGAATAAGCAGCGGCAGCTGTGCCAGCGACACCCAGACCTGATGCAATCTATCGGCGAGGGGGCCAAAGAGTGGATCAAAGAGTGCCAGCACCAGTTCAGACACCACCGCTGGAACTGCAGCACGCTGGAGCGGGACCACACTGTGTTTGGGCGGGTGATGCTGCGAAGTGAGTGAGCACACGTGGGACTGAAAAATCCGTCTGTGTGGTTCTCCGTATGTGCGTGACAGTGGTTGTTTATGTCGACGACACTCGAGTTAATCATCCTCGTAAATGTCTCCAACGCTGCCAGATAAGCAGAGAATTAATAGGTGTCAACTTTGCTCCAGAATACAAACAGAAAGACAAAGGGTTATAGCCTTTTTTTTTACCTTCTCAGGAATGAGGGACGATTGGGAAAGTGGATGTTCCCTAAAAACAAGTAGCAGATCACCATACTGGTGATGTATAAACAGTAATAGGAGATGTAAATATTTGGGTAGATGTTTCTGGCAGGCAGACAAAGCTCTACTCCCTGACATATCATCTGTGTTCTGCTTCATTGCGCGAGTAGGAATGAGGACAAGAGGTGGGTGGGAGAGCCAGACCAAATAACCCCCAAAATCTCCTCTTGTCTGAAATGAAAACACAGCTCAGTGACTGAGAAAGCTGCCATCTGGGCAAATTAAAAAGGTGAAAGGAGAGTCAGCTGGACTGTGACGTTAGAGACGACATGCTGCTTCCTCTGTCTGGACCATCCGCCATAAATGGACGGATTTGTGCTCCTGCTTTATTGAGCAGAAATGAGGAGAACCTGAGCACAAAAAGCACAGCTTGAGGCTGACCACAGAGAGGAAATTACTGTATTGTTTGGGCCTTCTGTTGTGACAAGTAGATTGTCGAATTAAAGTAGCAGTGAAAACAAACACTCTTTTTGTGCTCTCAGGTAGTCGAGAGGCGGCGTTCGTGTATGCCATCTCTTCAGCCGGTGTCGTCTACGCCATCACCAGAGCTTGCAGTCAGGGGGAGCTTAAAATCTGCAGCTGCGACAGCCACAAGCGAGGCCAAGCGACAGATGAAAGGGGCACTTTCGATTGGGGAGGATGCAGCGACAACATCAACTACGGCATCAAATTTGCAAAAGCTTTCGTAGACGCACGAGAGAGGATGGTGAAAGACGCTCGTGCCCTGATGAACCTGCACAACAACCGCTGTGGTCGGATGGTGAGTGGCCACTATCCTTTTGTGCAAATGCTTGTTTTCAAAGACTCAATCATGTTTTTGAAAGTTACATTGTCTGACCTACAGTCTGTAACGTAATTTGCTTTTTGCTGATTTTATTCACTAACCAATCATCAAAATGATCAATTACCTGACTGTCAAGATTTGATTACAGAGCAGCCAACAGTTGAGAATATTTGACTCACACCTGTGCCGACAGAGCTGATCACAGCGCAACAATGCCATCAGTAGCATCACAGGCTTAACACCTCGTCACCTTTGACTTGTGCTGCAGGCAGTGAAGCGCTTCATGAAGCTGGAGTGCAAGTGTCACGGGGTCAGCGGCTCCTGTTCTCTGAGGACCTGCTGGCTGGCCATGTCCGACTTCAGGCGGACCGGAGACTACCTACGCAAGAAGTACAACACGGCCATCGAGGTGACCATGAACCAGGACGGGACGGGCTTCATGGTGGCAGACAAGGACTTCAAGGGAAGCACCAAGAATGAATTGGTGTTTGTGGAGAACTCTCCAGATTACTGCCTCATGGACCGCTCGGCAGGTGAGAAACCGAAAGAGAAAGTTTTGTTTTTGGAAAGTCCTCAAAAAAATTTGGGACTTTTTGCCAGAAGTGATCATTTGTTTTGACGTATTAAAGTACTAACAGAGGACCACAAGAACTGATCCAAAGGGTTCTTGTAACTGGGCTTGATGATATTTCTCAGTTTGTCATTTCACACAATCAATGAGAATCAGAGACCTCTCCACTGACGCCTTGCATTCCTTTACAGCTTAAATTTCAGTGATTTGACCTTTCACGTTGCCTTAAATTCCCGGTGTTTGCTTAGCCTTGTTAAGCCCTGTCTCTGTCCTTAAATCCAGCTCCTTCAGTAGGGCAGGTAAGAGTTAAACTTGCTCTCTAGGTTAGATTGAAGAGTGCACATATGCAGGAGTAGACTTAAAGCTTTTAAATGAAGTCAGGTTCTCCCACTCCACCCTACTTTTAGCTTGGTTGCAGCTTCAGCTAAGAGTTAATAAAGGTGTGTTCCTTCAAAGGGACGGCTGTCTTTTCTTGCTAAAAGATGATCTTAAAATAGGCTTATGACCCTCCTTGCCACTAATCTTCATTGTATTGGAATTCACAGCCCAAGGATACATGCAGGCTTGTTTTTCAAATCCTTCCTTTGGTCAGTATTAAGCTCCACTCCCAAGAGCCTGAGGGGAATATCTGCTCTTATCCTTTTCTCTTTACTTGAGGGATGGTCTGTTATTAGACCTGGTACCTGATCTTGGGCCCAGAATTTACACTTGAGTACATGGATACCTTTGTGTTGGGCTCTGGGATTGTTTTGTAAGCCTGTCTGGAAGCTAATACCCAGTTGAGGAGTGTGGGAAAAAGTTACTTTGTTTAGCAGAAGTAGTGCCAGTCTTTAGGGCTGAAATTAGCCGGTGTTCAGCAAAGGTTGGATTCCAATATTTGAGGTTCTTGTCATCGACTGTATTTTAACTTTCACAGAAAATTCTGAACAGCCGATAATTCTCTCAGATAAACAAATTACTAATTTGTTAATTAAGAGTGACAAAGTTAGGTATGATTACAAGAACTGATGCAATGCTAATAACAATACAAGAACCAGTACCATCACCAATATCATGACTGATTCCAAGACCAATAGTAATACTAATTTTACCCATACTACTGTCAATACCCATGCATACATTAATATCAATACTTAGATCACTACTGAGATCAAGCCTGATGCAGACACTGATGCCTTTAACAATATCAGTTCTCTAATATAAATATGGATTCTAATACTGATATCAATATCGATATCAATGCCAATTTCAAAGCCGATATCAATGTTGATATTATTGCTGGTACAAGTATTGGTGCCAAGACCAATTCTACTATCAATGCCAATGTCAATACCAGATCTAATATTAATGTCAATACTGATACCAATAGCAATATCAAAGATATTAATACTGATACAAATACCAATACAGATACCAATAATTTTGCCGATAAGAATATCAATTTTTATCAAGTTTTCAGAGAAAAAAAAAAAGATTTTATTTTTGGCCAAAATTGTGTAGCGCTCGTACCGGGACTTAGGTCTACTTAATTATCAAGTCTTATGTGGCTTGTCAGTCCAAATAATTCAGTTAAGAAACTTTATGCAATCCTAACATTTACTCACATTACCAAGATCCCTTCTCTAACGAAGCCAAAGTGCTTTTCATTATTCTAGTATAACTTGCTCATTAACAACAATGTTTGAATTTCTTTACAGGCTCCTTGGGAACAGCGGGCAGAGTGTGCAACAAATCCTCCAGAGGCACAGACGGCTGCGAGGTCATGTGCTGTGGGCGGGGCTACGACACCATGCGTGTCAAACGTGTCACTAAGTGCGAGTGCAAGTTCAAGTGGTGCTGCGCTGTGGAGTGCCAAGACTGCGAGAGCGTGGTGGACGTTCACACCTGCAAACCTCACAAGCGACCCGATTGGCTGGACGTGACCTAAGGAGTAGAGCTGACCAATGACAGTGATCACTGACTCATTAACCTGTGCACAAACGGCTGCTTTTTCTAATGGGACATGTAATTGGGTTTTCTTAACTGTAATACCTCTGGCTTTCGATCTTTCGACACTCCCTGGAGCGGAGACCTTGATGCTAAACTGGAAAGTAGGCCCAGTTACTGATCATGTGCTGCTTTAAAGACTGTTTTTCAGAACAATCTATTGAGCCTGTCTTAAGACGTTCTTTGATACATTAGGCTGAATATTATATTGCTGTAAATGCACCCTTGGTTGATGCTGAGAAATGAGGTAATGTCTGCTTGTTTTACAATATGTTCAGACTGTGAAAGCACATGACTCAGCTAAAATTGATACCAGTTTTTATGATCATATTTAGCCTGAGGAGAGACTGATAAAGAAAGAAATATAGAGCGATCTTTCTCATTATTGTGGGGATACTGATGTTTTATCATTTAAAATGATATGAAGTCATTCTTTGTTACTGCGAGGACACCATTTAAAACACAAGAGACAGTTGCTGCTCAGCGCAACTCTGAGAAATTTACAAAAAAGGTCAGAAGGTGCTCATGAAATATGAAAAGTGCAGACAATCACACTGTGAACCGAGAGGAACCACTAAAAGAGTGACAAGCAAAGCAAAGAGAAGAAAAGATTTTCTTCAGCTGAGGCGGCACAAAGCTGAACTTTGAAAGGTTTGCTGAAGAATAAAGAGACAAACTGAGAGATGAAACTAAAGCACCACATGGATTATGCTGTTTTCTAAAGGAATCGCTTCCTATCTAGTATCTGATAAGAATGAAAGTCTTTAGTTGGTCTTCTGATCATGTGGCCTTGCAGAGAGATTTCAGTTCTACCTCTGGTTCCTTGTCTTTGTTCCACTTTTACAACGACAGCTTCACACTTCATTCTAACACGGCTGCTGCAGTTAAAAAAATAAAAATAAAAACCTCTTTTAACTCGATTTATGCCCAACTTCACACATTTTTGATCAAAACACACAGCTCAACGCATATACTTTGACTACACTGTTACCTGATAACATGGAGGCCTTGAAAGTAATCTAGGGAAAAGTTATTCATTGTCGAAAAAAGATTTCTGTTGCTTATAGACAAAATTAAAAAGACAAAAAAACACAGAGAAATGACCCTGAATCTCTTTTTTTTACTTTTTAAATAGTTTATCTCTTTAATTGATTCCCCAAAAGCTAATACTGTAGATTTTTATCACTGATTAAGATCAAAACTCATGGCCCCAATATATATTTTTTTCTAAAACGTCGTCATTAAAGTTCACACACAGTGAAAACTGTTCAGATCCGTCTGGGGAAATAACTTGAAGGGTTTGATGATTTTCCTCTCTTGCTTCTCTCATACAATCATCATGAAGAACAGAGTTATTTTTGACGTGATGACTTTCACCGGTTTTCATATAAGACGCTAAAACCTGCAGTGCAGGGGTAAGGTGTCTGATCAGAACAAAGTTACTCATTTTTTATTTAAAATCATCCAACATGCCAAGCTAACACTCCTGGTTTCAACCTTCCTAACTCTAAATTTATAAATACTCCAGAATAAATCTTTTTTACAATGCTTTAACATTACTGATCTAAAAATACAATTCATTATTTTTTATTGTTGTACCCCCTTCCTCACATTCTGAATTGTTGCTGTGACAAGTTCAAGTTTGCTTTTAAAGCTACAGATCACTGTTAACACATTCAAGTTATAAGGTATAATGTACAACGAGCAGGCTGTAATGCAAAACAGAATCCTGGCATGGTGAGAGAAAATCACTTAAAGGACAAGATTGTTAAACTGACATGGTAATAGTGAGGTTATAAGCATACAAACATAAAATTATCCCATAAGCCTGCTCTAAAGTTAATAAACACAATAAACTCAACATTTTCATTTAGTATTGAGTCAAAACACTCACAGTTTTCTTCACAGAGGCAGAAAATGATGGTAGCACTTGTGTAGGATCCTCAAACCCTACACTGTGTTGTGGTCTGTCATTGCTTTATATCAGTTTTATTCAATTTAGTTGATTTATTTCACTCAGTTCGTCGTGTATTTGAACATCCCTCGATGATTTGCTCTTTTCTCTCTTTACTGGTGACTGGTCAGCCATTAACCATGAATCATCTAAAGTTTGGTGGTCTCTGAAAAACTGACAGTAACGTATCCTCTATGTTGTTCACCATTTCAACTAAAAGAGTAAAATTTTTGCCACATAGTCAACAGGAAGAGCTGTTATCATAACCTTTGTAAATGTGCCAAGCTCCTTTACGGGGGATTGATTTTGATAAGTCACTTTTGGTATCAGAATTAGAAACTACCGTGATAGGAGACTCAAGTTTGGTGGTTATCAATCAAGTTGGGAAAGAATTAGATTCAGATGATAATGGGCCCAATTATTTCTTTTGGATCTCGTTAGATAATTGTTTTGTTTCCTCTTGGTGATTCTTGGTTTCAGTGAACTGTAACTGACTTTAAACACAGAAAACTCCTGGTTCATTACAGCGCGTACAGAATTTCTTTCAAACAAGAAGGCCTTGAAATGTACATTAATAAAAAATGTCCCATGAGTTTTATGCTGCTATATTTCCATCGAACCTTACGTAAACTGATCTGAAATATACAGTATGTACTTTATGTTGATTATTCTAATTGTACAGAAATCGATAATAAAGCAGATTTTCCTGTTTATGTGAGCTTATAAATAAGTATGCCTCTCTGTGGTTGATTACAGGAAGTTTTTGGATAATTTCATCAGACAAAACTCTAACAATGTGATCAAGTTAAACTTCCAGTCGTCTGTATGCACATTCGCTGGCTCTGACCGGCTGATTTGTGAGCAGTGAAGTATTTTAAGAAACCCGGCCAACAGGACATTGCAGAATGAGCAGTGAAGTAGCCACAGACCCCGAATTTGACTTCTCAACATCTGGTGGTGCAGCCAGACATCATGTTAGGCGGTTGGAGACACGGCCCTCAGAGGGGTTTATAGATTTAAATGAATCTGACAACAAGCCGTAGATGCTGAGAGTCAACAAATTTTTTCAAGTCCACGTAATGAGGCGGGGAGCCAAAGTAAAGTGCTTTGAACGGGGCCAAATGACACGGCGTGTCAAACGTTCACGAGTCAAAAGTTAATTGCGAACAAAAAAAGGCTGTTTTGAATGTAAATGAAGAGCATGTTGGCTGTGTTTTCTTTGAGGTTAGAAAGGTGAGAGGTGTTCATGCGCAGAGGGGAGCAGACAAAAGTCTTTGCTGCTTCGCTCTTAAATATTCATAATTCAATTCCCCAGTTTTACTGCGTGTAACAAAGCCCAACACTTACTATCAGTGAGTTCAGTCAGTTATGAAATTCAACATTGCATGTCTAAATTTACATTGGAGCGCTCTCAGCCTGACACTGATCTGCGTGGCTTGTGGACTGGTTGATGAAAAATGTTGCAGTTACACAAGTTCAGTTGGGTTTCTTCACAACTCTGTCATAGTATTTAGAGATTTGAATTCCAGATGTACCTTAGCAGTGCTTGAATATACTTTCTTTATATTAGCTGTGGGTTGATTTTTCAATAAACCTTTTAGGGCTGACGTCAAGATGACATTGCAGCGTTCATCTGGAGGCAAACTCATCACCAGTACAGGATGGAGGGTGATATAAAGGTCTTGAAATGTCACTTTGTTGTGTTACCATAACAGACAGAGTAACAGTAATGTCCTAAAGCAAGAATTCTATCGTATACCGGCCCTAACTACCTGACAAGAAGAATAAAACAACTGTAGTTAAACACAATAAGGCAAAGGGACGGTAATCAAGCATCTTTGGACTTGTACGCCCTCAGTTTTTCTCAACAATACACTTCAAGTTTCTCTATCAATTAAGAGTCGAGGTCCAGCAACCCCATCTTTGGCAGTAAATCTATCTATTGAGTATCAGGTCAGTCTCAGGAAGTAAGTGCCCATACAAATTCAGAGAGACCGCATCATTATCAAAAACAAACCAGAAACTACCTGCTAGCTAGAATTGGTTACCATTAATACTGTATATATATTTTTTGCGTCAAGCTAAGCCCCACCCACCAAGATGCCATACTGTCTGTTTACTAACACTACAAAGTTGTATTGAGGCCAGCGCCACATTTTTGTTCAGCCCATCTCTTTCTTTGTCATAGTTTGGTCAAACTGTGTTCTGGTTTGTATTTCTGTCCAGGGAGGTATTTTCACCTTTGAAAGACAGGTCCTAAAAATACCTCACTGGCTCTATATTAAACCTGTAAATCCACCCTCTGTCACTCCTATTAGAGGTCTTCCATCCTCCGCCAGCTTATATTATCTAACTGATGGTATATTGTCTCATGTGAGCGTAATGTTGTAATAAAGATGAAGCAGTTTAGCATTTGGAGGAGCTGCAACTTCTTGGATGTTGTTATCTATTAATCCAATAATACAGTAATTGTGACAGCCTATTATTTGAGCCTGAAAGCAAAATCTTCGAGTAGCAAACTGACCAACTATCAGTCCAAAACTCAAAAATATTTTGACCCTTCGCTTGAAAATGACCAAAACAGTTCAGCCACCATTAGGACAGTTCTTCATTTTGCATCATTTAGTCCATCAACTGATTTATCATCAACTCTAATACCTGGTAATCCCAAAAAGTCAGAAACCTAAAAGTGGCCTGAATGGATTTTACTGCAGCGATCGAATATCTTAGTAATCGAGTATTCTACTGAATATTTCGTTAATTAATAGAGTAATCGGTTAAAACATAGTTTTGTTTAGTTAAAGTGGAAATATTAATATACAAGAGTAAATAAGACATTTAACTTAAAAATGAGCAGTCAATTGTTTTCCTTTTTTAGAAACGCGGAACGCGGAACAAGCGTGTAGCAGGCTGTAGCAGATTGACCGCAATGCTCATAGGAAAGCTAATTTTAAAATTAGCTTTCATTATGCCACTAAAGACATTAGTGTCCGAGAGCTAAATAGCTCCTATATTACCTGCTTCTTCTACTATACCAGCAATGTTAGGCTACAAGCTAGCATGAAGAGGTGTGTGCAGAGCAGCGCTGTCTCTGCCCACGACTCAGAGGCGAAGTGCTAATGAGTTACTGGAGCTCTGCAGAAGAGAAGCCCCTCTCATCAACTGCGCTTACTCCTCCTTCTACCCCAGTGACGTAAGCCTAGTGTGTCACCTTGAAAATAATCTGTACGAAACAGTGACAATTTGAGCTTATAAACGAGTATTCGAGGCGGAGAAAATTTCTTGATCATTTTTAGTAATCGAGGTACTCAAGGCACTTGAAGAATCGTTTCAGCCCTAGATTTTACGAATAAAAAAATCTGTCTAACAATTAGTTCTGTTGTTCCCCTGGAGAGCCTGTTAGTAATACTTGTTGATCTTTAAATGTGCTGTGGTATCTGTGCTGCTTTGTCCCCCCCACATTGTGTGATCCAGTTGAACTCTGTAAAAATAACAGGAGCGGCATTGCAGGCATTCCCTGCCATCAAAGTGATATCAAATGGGCATCTCAATGTAACAACATTTCAGAGCTAAATTCGGCCCGAGGGACAGACTAACAGTGTGGTCCACATGGATTCCTCACATTCAGGAAACCAGAGGGGAGGGATGTTGTAATCCCTGCTTACAATTTGTAATGAGTCAAAAACAATTCAGCAGTGTGTCAGTTTCATACTTTACATGTTTAGTATTGTCCTTCAACTTGTCTGACAGGACTTCCACTCCAATATACTTTACCACAACTAATTACATGATAAATATCTCTGAAGTACAGCGATGTAGGCAAAACGCTGATATGTATACATTGTGAAATTGTTGCTCTCTAGGCTATTTAGGAAACGTGTTGAAAATGTTTGGCAAAAATGTCTCAGTAGTTTCACTGTTTTTCTTGGAAGACAAGATGGCCCTTGAGACCCTATCAGCCGTAATTAAGAGCTTTTGTGGACATAAAATTGGACTTGACTGTAGCTGATACGGTTTAGTGCATTAACTGTCCTTGCCAAGTGACATCATACCCATTTGTAACTCAGAGAAGAGTTAAATCAGCGATTAATCTTGCTTACAGTATGTTTCTATAACACTGAAAATGGATAAGACTCCCACAAACTCCTGACCATGCAATGTAACAGCATACTCTTATCTCTCTGTTGTAGTTTATGGCTAATTCTTGATATCCTGTTAGACTTAAATGTTTTTTGATAAAGACACTTCAGCGGAACTCACATCTACTGATGAAAATCAGACAGTAAATTACTAAATTGATAAACTTGAAATTATTCACTTATATTAAAATAAGTGAATCCACTAAGAACATTAAATATTACAATACACCAGTATGAGCTCAGCAGAGGATGAGAATGGTGGCATAACATCCCCCAAAACCATAAAACTGAATTAGATTCAGAGTTAGATGTAGGAAAATTCTTTTCAGCGTAGGCCACTGTGCAACCAGCTGTTCTGTTCCTGCTAGGCCCCACAGACTGCAAAACATGGAAATATACTGTACTGTTTTGAGAATTAATAAGAAAACACCCACCAAAAACCAAAGCAACAGCATCAAAACAAACTACACATCTTAACTGTGCAGCAAATACACCAAACAACCAGACCATAAGTCCCTTTCTGAAACAGAAAATAATTGGTTATTGATCCCTGCTACTTTAGGCCCAGGACATTGTTGTTTAATCTGTATTCTGATAGCTGGTTAAAGTAGTAAATACAATAGGAAATTCAATCTGTTATTCAACCAAAGGAGTAAAACATGAGGCTTACATTTCATCACAATATGAATGTTACTTTACACATAACATATTAGTGTTTACTAGTGAAATAAGACCATGCAAAAACAACAGCAGACAAAAGAAATGCCACTAAAGGAATCAGCTTCCAACACTCTAAGAACCCAAGCACATTTTTTAACAGCAAGCAAAATAAAATCACATTAAAACAACACCAAAAAGTAAACCCAAAGATATTCAAGAGAAACATCAGATCTCAAATGAATCAAATCAAACAGACAACAGTTCATTATTTTACCAAGCACAGAGACAGACACACAAATACAAACATTGGGACCGTGGTTAAGTTTGAAGGTTAGAGCAGCCGAAAACTTACCTTGGAGAGAAAACGCGAAAATTCCGGAGTTGTGGTGTCCTGGGTCCAAAACAAACATCCATCACGATCGGCGAGCAACTTCCGGTCTAATATGGCGGTTAACGGAAAATCTCGGCAAACAACTTCCGATCTAATTTGGCGGTTAACGGATAATCTCGGCGAACAACTTCCGGCCTAATTTGGCGGTTAACGGAAAATCGTCAGGTAACCCCACCTGAGTTGTTTATTTCCGGTAGAAGCAGCGCTTGTCCGGTTTTTGCGCGCGAGCTAGGCCCCAGCCCTCCGCGAAAAACGCGACTTCTAGCAGGTAAGCTTTTAATTTGAAATACTAGAATCAGCTGAATATGCCGACTACATCTGATATAAAAGGGCGAGAGCTGTTAATCAGCTGAGTCTCGCGGTGATCGGAGGTGCGTGAATTTGTGTCTTAAGAAATTAGAATAGTGAAGAAACATAACTTCAGTTGTTTGCTCAAACCATATACACACGTACATATATTCAGTCTGTGGCTTGAAACAGTAAGTTACTGGCTTCACAGTCAGTTTTTGTTTGTTTGTTTCTTTGTTTCTTTGTGTAGTCTACTGGCTTCACAGTCTCAATTTTTGTTTGTTTGTTTGTATTAGTTTTGTGGCACATTTCTTACCTTTGATACACCAACACAGCAGAGCGCTAGTCAATGGTGAAGATAGAAGAAATTATTTTTCAGTCCAAGTCAATTTGTGCTGTTTTACTCTCTGTTATGGTAATATCTGGTTAATTGCTGTCTCTTTTGCTAAGTTGTAACTCGCTTGGTTTAGAAGAAAGCAGGTGTGCTTGAAGCCTCCTTTCAAAGACTGACTACAGAGTCAGTTTTTTAAGTCTGAGAGGAAAAAGCCAATTTTCTCTTAAAAGGGCCAGTTTTTCTAATCACAACAAAACAACAGGATAATCTCTTTAATTTAAAAACCAATTGTTTTCAAATTGAAACTCAAATAACATTTGTGCAAACTGAAAATAACCCCATGGATAGATGTGTTTTCTGTACCCTTTAGGAAATGTTTGTTGTTAAGTTTTGTGTTGGTTTGCTAAATGGACAACCAGCAAAGAACTTGCCCACCAAAATCCACAAGTTGAAAGTCAGAGAGCTGTATCAGAAGATGAAATGTTCTATCATGAAAAGCATGAAGAGGGGTGAACTCCTGTATACATTATTTTGCTGCTGTTGTCGCCTTTTTTAATGTTCCATTGACTTTGATATACTGTGCTCCAGAGGTCAATGAGCTATTCATGTTTCAATGTGCAGCATGAAACCATACTCTGGCACTGAGATCAAACACTTGAGCATCCGTCAACAGCCCTCCATAGTGATTTTCATTACTGCTGCTCGCCTCTTAAGCATGAGTGTACAGAGTCTGATTATGGCGCTGGTGGTTCACTGAGGACATGCCACACAGAAGCATCTGCTGATGGTGGTGGAGTGGTGTAATCATAAAGATGGCTCTTGGCTTTATATAGTCCAGGATATGCAGCAGGCTGGCAGAGTGCATCGTTTGTCCTTGAACAAGATACCAGCTTGCTGTCAATACGGCAGTGATTTAAAAGAGGAGAGAAAATTACATCCACCATACAAAAGTAAAGTATTTAAAAATGTCACCCACTTTATCCTGAGAGTAGTTTGCTTTTCAGATCAAATATCAGTCCATGCCTGTTAAAATTAGTTAAGTTTATAATCAGATTAATGTTCTTTATGCCTCTGTTTAGAGTGTTTTAACGGTCTCATCCAGTTTTTTACATTTTATAAAAGATTACATCAGCATTTTAAAGCACTACAACAAAGGATATAAGTAAAACAAAACAAGACAACACTGTTAGAGCATTTTATTTTGAGTTTTGCTTTCAAACTCAGCCAAGGGTTGTTACATCCATCCAAAAATTCTCCTGTCTTCAGCATTCTCTTACATTTCAGCCGCACGCTACAAATTAAGACACTTCTATTGTCACTTTTTTTGAATAGATAAATCACAGGCCTCAGTGGGAATTAGATTTTGAAGTTGGGGTTAAATCTGGCTTTTAAACCAAATTTTAAAAATATCCTAGAAAACAAGTTTTTTGATTACAAGCAACACATCTTTTGTCATTCTGACTTGACTTTTGTAAACATTAAACCAAGATTGTGAGAAGTTGTAGGGTTAGAATAAAGAAGAATTGGCACTAAACTTCACTTCACGACTGCAGGTGTAGTATATCAGATGGTGAACTATTAATGTCGTACTTAAAGGCACTTTAGTCATCAGTTTTGTTACGTGTGGAGTGCAGGGCTATCATTGTTGGGTACAAACTTTTTTTATGCTGAGGGCACAGAGCGCTGGTAACACTGAGCTGCCGTCAGTGGACACAGGCCCTTACATTGTTGTGCTACTGATTATCACAGAAAATAACATATTTTTTAGATCTGACTTTCTGGCAAGATGGTACTGCTTAAGTTAAATTAGTTAGAAAAAATAACAGCAAATCTCCTGCAGAGGAAAACAAAATGTCCGAACTAAACCAGTTACAGTTGTATCAACACATTTCTGGCCACATGAACAGATCCAATCAAATGCAGGGCAAGCCAATTTGCACACTTCCTTCCAGTGCTTCTCTAAGGGGCTCTGAGTGCACTTGGGGACTTTTTGTAACCCTGTACATTACTGAGCTTGTTATTTTTAATTTTTGCATCCTTGACCAATAAACTGACTTTAAACGACCTGTAGCGCAATCAGTACAAGCGAGTTACACCAACTGTGACCAGAGATGATCTCATTTCCATTTCTGATGTCGTGTGGGTGGTGGTTGCCCCAGTGATGTAGTGCTGAGGTGTCACGCCATGGCAACAACTGTAGAGTCGCGGAGGCGTTGTATACACTGCAGGCACTTGGAGGCTGTAAATCACGGCTCTGTTTTTAGAAGATGTTACAGACTTTTGAATTTACTTTAGTGGACGTCTGGGTGGGTTCACACATAGATTCCCAATCAGAATACTCACTGGGTTATTTTTGATATTTTAAAATAAATTAACATTAATAAGAGGTGATAATGGTTACAGATTCTTCACATGTATAGAGTCTCTTGCCTTTCTTTTCTTGAGCTAACTGGACCGTAGTATGAGGACAATCATAAAGGTACAGTTTTAGGTTTTACTTTGATTTAGTCCGTTTCAAATTTGGATTTCTGTACAAGCGAGAGTCTGCAGCCAAGCTTTGTGGGATCCTTCAAACTTCAAATTGCCCAATTCAAACACAAGAAGAAATGAATGACCCTGTGAAATCGCTGTAAATGTTATTCACTAAATGTGGTCTTGGAAAAACACTGGCTGCTCAAACAGTGTGGGAGAGCATCTTAAGAGTGGTATTGGCGTGTTGATACAACCTCAGCCAACATAATCAGTAACAATGCAGCAAGTGGACAGTAATGCTGAAGACAGGAGAGCAAACACTTTTTGTCTGAGGGCTTGGAGTGGTATTGGTGTGTAAGAGTGTGTGTGTGTATGTGTGTGTATGTGGGATGGGGTCAGATCCGAGTCAGCTGGTGCCAAAAACTGGACGGCATGAAGCTTTCCATCTTGTCTGCGAAGAAACCCAGGGGTGCAAAGAGTGTGCTGAAGAACTGAAAGGGAGGGAAAGCAGAGTGAGTGTTCAGTAAAAGTCATTTGCAGATGATGTTTATGCATAACCCCCGAATAAATCACTCAAATAAAGCTGCCAAACCCATTATTTCACATAGACGTTATTATGGGATTTATTTATCGCACCTCTAAGGAAGTTTTTTCATTAACTTAAACTACTTTTATTAAGGTAAAATATTGTTTCTAGCAAGAAGAATTAAGAAAAACAAAAAAATAAAGCGTACAAAAGCTTTCCTATTCTGTAGGTAGAGAATTTGACCTCATACTAAGCACTGCTAGTCGCACATTTACATACAGCAAGGTGGTTAAAAGCAGAACTTTTACAAACATGTAATCCAGAAACTTCATCGAGAACAGGAGATGTAGATTTATCTGATCTGGTGATCTGGTGGATAAACTTTGTGTTAGCCATGATTTATATGATCACACACTTTTAAACATTGAATCATTCATTCTTCTGTTTTCCCTTTCACTCTCAGGAAATTCAAGTAAATAAGAAAAAGAGGAAAAAATATTCAAAGAAACATTTTGCAAACAATAAATTACTGCTCCAAACAAAGATAATTAACATGGTTTTACAGCTGATTTATAATTGATATAATCGGAAAATAAGTTCTTTGTTTGGTTATTGGGAAAAAAATCATTCAAAAATCTCATAAGTTGAGTTAAACTGTGTTAAATGTTGACATGGTTTCTTTGTTACCACCCATTGGTGTCTTAGGAGATGTTCTGAAGCCTAAAAATGCCAACGATTTCCACTCTAGATGGACTCTGCAGGAGGTTGCAGGATCATGTGTATGTTTTCCTCTTTGCATTGTACAGTTCTGATATTTATTTGTGAACGCACTAAAAAACTGTTCACAGACAGTTGTTTTTTAAAAGTGATTTTGAAGGTCACGCTCATGTGGTTTATTGGTTATAGGCCATTTCTAAGACTGGGAGCAGGTTCAGGTTCTAGTTCAGGTTTCTTTTTTGGTACTTGTGGATAGACTGATTTTACAGCAAGCTGAAAACATTCAGTTTGACACTGACTTACAAAACAAGACAAATGTACCGTGAAACTACGCAAAACGTAGATTATTCCAACTCTTTTGAGTTTTTAAGTATTATGTATCATAGCTGATGAAATCCTCACTATCTTTGCTTGAACTGTTGTCTCTCACAGATCGGTGAACCTTTTCCCATCTTTACTTTTGAGGGACTGAGCTCTCTGGAGTGTGTTGTTTTTTTTTTTTTATACCTTTTCATGTTACGAACTTGTTGCAAATTTTTGGACATTTTCCTCCTGGTAATTTTAATTCATATTTTTTTACATCACTCAACTTTTTTGTGTTTTGTTGTCACTGATGCAAATGTTTTGAAACACGCTGCGAGCATCAAATCAAAATGAAGCACATATTCATCATGAAACAATGTTCGCTAGTTTCAACATTAGAATTTTTAGTTTTTACATAATTTTCAACTGAATATAGTTTTTGTTTTTAATGATTTGCATCAGGGTCGTATTTTCACCATTAGGACTCTTTATTTATTTTTTTCTGTAAATGATTATCTTTGACAGTTCTTGGCCACTATCCTTCGGTATGACTCAACTAAACATGATTCTGACCAGAGCATTATCCTGAGCACCAAATGGAAGTAAGAGCGTGTACTCTGCAGCTAATTCAAATGCCAAGAAAGAAGACATTGAACATATTTGTGATTATTTTGAAGCATTTCTTTTTAATTTTCTGTTGTCCATGAAAACTTAATCGTCTTTATAGTGAGAACACAGATGGAAGAACTCAACTTCTCTTTTTATGACAACCAGCACCCCATTCTCCACCTCCATCTAATGATGAAGCTCTAGCTTTATGTGTATTACATCTGTACATTAAAAGATTTAAATGCACATGTTAGTGCTTTAAGTAAGCTATTATCAGTGAAACGTGCCCTAAAACATAAAAATATGGTTTCTCTCTGAAGCTTTTGTAGGTGTGCTTGATACACTTGACACTTTTATAGTCACATAAGTGGAGGATCAGCCCGGCCAGGCGAGTGCAAATCAAACACTCCTCTAATCCCATTTCAGATATGAAATATGTGCGACTCTTACGCTACACAGGTCTGGTATCCATAAACATGAGAGAAGGAAAACTGCCACCACAGCCACCGCTGTCCTTCCCCGCTTGGATCTTCAGATTCAGAGAAAATGTGTTTTTCCTCAGAAGGCAGAGAGGACCTCTGTGTTCCTCCCTCGATAGTTTTCATGCTCTCCATCTGACCATTACACAAACCAGGCTCGCTGGAGCTGCTGTAAAAATCCTATCTGCACTCAATCTTTCCCATAACAAAAGGAAGAGCACTAGATGTTCTGTGCGGCCTTGTTTTTGCTACGAGTCTATGTCGAGGCAGGCCCTAATAAACAACATGACTATAAACAAAGGATTAGCCAGAGTGAGGAGTGAGCCAAAACGGGCTAAAAACAGACAACGCGACACGTCTTTGACACATAAACAGAGAAAAGAAAGACCTTCACGTTCCTCCATTTACAGGCTTTAAATCTTTTCGGCTGCAGGCCATGTTGGCTGTGGTGATAAGCTTGCATTAATCAGCTGTGGTCACTGATAGCTTAACTTGGACAACAGCTTGTTTTGGCGGGAAACATCGACTTTATAGGCCTACGACTCCCATGAGCCTCCAGTGTTACTGACAGTGATGGAAGCCAGCAATTACTGGAAGGGTCAAAAGATTCGGGTTACAAACAGCGAGGATTTTAAATACAGGCATGATAATATTAGACATTAATTGAAGATGTGACTACAGGTCAGCCCGCTCGTATCGCATCTCCGTCAAACCTGCGATCGTAATTCAAAGCAAAAGTTTAATTTAGATGTGTAGTTTCGAGTACTTACTGCTTTGGCAAAGACACCCATGAGCTCAGGGAACTGATGTGTGAGCATGGCCAGCATGGCAGTGAAGGAGCAAAGGCCTGCTGTGAAGAGGATGAAGAAGGGAAGCTCTTTCTTTGGGTACACAGACACTTCGTGAAACGCTGTGGAGGGGGAAAAAAAGGCAGAAAACAAGATAAACGGCAGGAACAGAGAGTAGAAGTAGAGAGGTGGTGAGCATTCATTGAGTTGGGCTGCTGTACTTACAGGGCAGCAGCTCTCTATCTGCTGTTTCTGTGCATCCTGGGTATGGGTAAAACAGGTGACCCTTCTCCAGTGGGTAGGGGATTATCCTGAAGGCTGCAAAAGAAGACAAATAAGGAGTTAATTATGATAAATAACAAATAAAATATGACGTTGTATTCCATGTAAAAACAATTTAGAAACAGAGATCGGTATTCTAAACTATGTCGACAAGAGGCAGACACAATTTCCAGTAAATCCTATTAATAGTGATAATCTTGAACACAGTGACGAGATACAAGCGTTGGAATAAACTAGAACAATAACAAACTTCATTCACTTCCTTGGAACAGTGATCTCATCCTTGTATAATCGCAAGAAGAGTATTTGTGGTTGTTTGACGCAAAGATGATCCATGACGCAGCAGAGAAAACAACAAAAACTTCCCTGTAACCGACTGAATCACCTTTAAACATACAAATGTTGAGTTACTGTAATACATCATGAGCATTGAATGAGGGTATTGATACGTACTGCCCTCCCATGTGCAGTGTAAAAGGTTTAAGGCTCCCTCTGCTCTCTTCCAGTGCTGCAGGTGGAAGAAAGCGTACGCCACTGCCTCGCTGTCGCCCCTCTTTAAGATGTGCTCTGGAGGCAAGATCAGGCTCTTCATCTCCAACAAGTACTGCAGACAGAGAAAGGAAAAGACTTTTGGTAAGTTTACACCACAACAACATCAGATATTCATCCACCAGCTCCTAAACCTGTATCAGAGAAGGTCTACATTAGGCGTGCTTTATATCACAGTCAATAACTTTGATAATTAGCATACTTTAATTATAACAAGAGCGAGCCAAAGAATGTTTGGTGAATTCTCGTAAACTGTGTTGTAATTTCCTCAAAGGTCAGCACCAAGAACCCGGCTAGCCAAACTGCTAGCGCGTTGTTGCGACATCCATTGTTTGCACTCATTACGAGACTTATTTTGCAAGGCATCCAACTCCCACTCCAAACATTTTAATTGGAGAGATTTTGGCATGAATGAAGAATGTCCTTTAGTTTTTTAAAAGACGGAAAAGGCAAAAAATAATTTTACAGTTTTATATTCAACAGGTGGCAAAGGGAATTATATAAAAAAAAAAAAAAAAAAAAAAAAAAAACTACTAAAATTCTGCTGATGTCGTTTCGATTCATAATAGTCTGCCCCTTGTGGCCAAAAATCAATTAAAGCAGCTTTAATAGTTTGACTCGTACAGCCATGTTTCTCCATCAGCACTTCACTTACTCTGTTCTGTTGAGCAACTCCCTCTGGTTAACTCCCAACAGACTGAAAACATATTTTCTTCATGTGAGGGATTTGTTGACAGCCTTATTTTGCAATTGTTCAAGGTGGGAGGGAAAGGCTTTCCAAAGCTCTCTGAGTGTGTGTTATTGTTACAGTACAGTACATTCATTCCATGAATGTGTAACATCCCCCTGCTCAGACCCCCTCCTCTCCTTCCCTACTGTGTAAGTTTGTCCCAGCGAGTCAGCCGGTTCACTGTGCTGACAAGGCCTCCGGCTCAGAGTTACGACCTGTAGACCAGTTAAGGTCTTCTAAAACAAAGAGGGGCAGGCGTCTAAAAATAAGACTTCGTACTGGACACTGATTTTCTCAGGTAGCAGCGTTTAACAGAGTCGTAGCTCTTCTGACAGGTTACTACTAGCTTTGATGAACCTACCACTCTATGAACTTTATATCTATGGTGCCCAGTGTGGCAGGGGTCTGTGTTAAACAAAACCCCCGTGTAGGGTTGGGGCCCCCCGGGCTGGATTCCCAGGCGGCCAGCTTCACAGTGCTCTGGATCTCAGACTGACACTTTGGGAAGGTTACCCCACAGCTAATCCCGTCTAATCCCTTCCATGGTCACAGGCTCAGCCAGCCAGCGAGCCATCCATCCATCTAACCAGCCAGACCGTGCCGCTTCACCCGCTTCCCCCCCTGCTGTACCCTCTTTCCCCACTTATGCCCTCATGATCACGGCCTGCCAAAAGACTGTTTGACCTGGCGCATCTCTGTCTGCCTGTCAGCCCTCTGTCATGCTGCTTTAACTTGCAAGATATGAGCCTTCTCCCGAGTCACAGGACCCAAGACTGCTTGTCTGCCTTATTTATCGCATTTCCCAACAGCTCCCTGATGGATCAAGCAATTAAGCTCAAAACAGACACCTCTGTGTTATAGAAGATAAGTTTGAACTACTCTGATAATCCTTTGACTTTTCTACTTTAGCAAGACTTCCAACATCAGCTGCCGACATAAAACATATTTCAACATTTCATCTGCTTCACATTACTGTTGTATTTTCATCCACAGAACTAGCTTCAAAAAGGTATAACACTGGAGAACATAGTCTCTATCATAGATTTACATGCATTTTCTTTTTTAGTAAAGAGGAAGAAAGAAGTAAAAATATAGCTTTTTTGGTACAAACTTCATGAAAAGTGGATTGTTCTTATCATGTCACATGAGCTTGATATTCTCGCAGGCCACTGTTGCCTTACCCGATGGTGGAGTAAGCAAGGAAGTGTTTCAGTCCAGAAACTGACCCCTAGATTTACCTAAATGATACCTTCAAATTAGACAAATGGAACCACAGTAGTTTTGAGCAGAGCTGACCCAAAATGAAATGAGTAAGCACTTTGGAAATGCATGTCAGTTTAGGGCTGCACGATTTTGGCCAAAAATAAAATCCTGATTTTTTTTTCTCTGAAAACTCATTTTTCGATTTTGTTTCGTATCGTCATAATCAAATAATCCGATTATGTTTTAAAATCAATAAAGGGTGCAGCCCTATGTCAGCTTAACAGTTGAATGAACAGAATTGTCAGTAAAACTATTTTATTAATTGTATTTTTCTTTTAATTGAGGGGCCAAAATGTTTGTCATTTGTTGCTGGGGCTGTAACTTCTGTTATTCACTTCTTGAAATCCATCTAGCATCTGTATTTGTGCCTGAGTGGGCTGAGTTGTAGCCCCATTTTCTGTGTCTTATTGTCTCTACCTCTTCTTCTTGAAAACACGACTTAACTGCCAGCAAGAGGGCAAGCATCGTCTTTCTCTCTCGTCTCTTCTATCCTCCAGTATTGCTCAACAAAATTGCACACCCCGTCTGAAGCAACTCTTAAGCAAATGTCCATTTTTCCTTTAAACTCTTCGTCCACTGCCCTCTTCATCGAAAACTCAAACCATCGCTGCTCTGTGCCTCATTCCTGCACTAAAGCTGTGTCCTTAAAGTACTTCTACACTCACTAGAGAGTTTGTCAGGACCACCTACCTCTCTGCCGCCTGTTAGCTACTCGCTACCTTTCTGTGAAAAGGCTCAGTCAGGCACGAAACCACCCAACAGGTGTAAACACTCCACTTCACCCAGCTTTCTCCTCTTCACTCAGCCGTTCTAGTCGACTGTCATGTCTCCAAACCTCTTGTCTTTCCATTTACACATCCAAGGACCTGCAGCTAGAATCACCCAGAAGCCGCTTGTTTGCCCCTCTCGTTTTTACCCTGTCTGACTTACTTAAATCATTCTCTTACTGCTCCAGCCAAGAGATTCGACTGTCTGCCTTCATGCTCCTCACCATGTTGGTCTGCTCTTTTCTGAGAACTACACTTCCACCGTTCTCCAGGCAGCACGCCAGCTCGAGAGCTAACCTCTGACTCCTCTGCTGTAGAGTACGACTAAACTGTCACGACTGATAAAATAACATACATTTATCTTCAGAAACACCTAAAGACCGGCACAAAGGATCACATGACGAGTAGGAGGGTCAGGGTAGTTTGGGGTTGAATCGTACACTCAAACAATTTAATGATCTTAAAGTGAGCCAATTTTTTTTTTCTTTTGTGTGGAAACAAAGCTCTATGATATGAGTGTTAACCTAACACTGATACATACAAGGGATGCCACAGTATGAGAATTGTACCACGCGGTTATTGTGACCAAAATAATCATGGTTTTCGGTAATATCACAATTTTTTTTTTAAATCAAGCCTTAAAAACTAACATTGCAAATTTTTTCAACCCTGCGATATGTATTGCGATATTAAAAAATACAGGAATTTTCACCAAATGACCTGAATAGCACTTTATGCAATGCTGCACATCTGAAATCTTGAGGACAGTTAACCTGCACTGATCTTACCTCTTTTAGTGAATGTTAGTAGAATAGCTTCTGTCTGTCTTAGAGATATTTTTAACTTTTATTGTCCTTGGACTTGTTATCTCTCCTTGTTATCTCCATTGCAGACACAGAACACGTTTGGTCGACATCATCCTTCTTGTAACCGTAATAATTCTAGACAACTGATGTTGCTTTTCTTTTTGGCAAAAAGTCCTCATTTTTGGTGGTTTTCTCTTGTTCATTGCTCATTTTGCAATCATTGTTGTTGTTACCGGCCTTGTCCCGAGAAATGCATGTCCGCCGAGGATTGCATGCACCTCGCAAAACACGCACCGCTCATAGTAGAGTGGTCCTCGGAAAAGTACAATTTAAAACCCGTACAATTCTTATTTTTGGGGCTTAACAGTGATGAGTAATGTTTCAAAAGTTATTCTCAGTGGACACACGTTTCTCGGCACAACACCGGCATTTCCAGCGACTCACTCCATTCCTCTTCTCTTATTTTGATTGACAGCTGGCAGGGTAGTCTGATTGGCATCTGAGTAAGCACATGCAGTGTATCTCAGTCAGCTACTATTGAAATTAGATAAGTTCATTCGCCTCCTACATCGCAGGCTCTGCAATGTAACTATCACACACACGTACATCGCGATGGCGATGCTCAAACAATATATCGTACAGCCCTATTACACAGTGCGCCTTCGCGGCTACTTCACAGGACTCGGATGATCAACACAGGGTTTCCCCTACATGCAATTGATCGTGGCGGACTACCACAACTAAATAAAAGCGGCCACGCCTTAAAAATTAGGTTTTTTTTCTTACGTGGCTCTACCTCGGACTCATCTGTATCAGTATACAAACATGCAGCGCACCGTGAAGCATGCGCTGAGTATTAGCATTCGCGAGTTCTTTCCGGCGATCACACAGCTGATTAATTAGCGAGTTCTCGTCTGAATAATATGGGTGTTATCGTTGCAATTTCACAGCTGATTCAGTACACACACAAACCACTGTTTTTTGAAGTGAAAACGGTAATTGTCATCAACATTTTTATCACAATTTACCAGTACACTGGTTACATTCCTAATACGTACAGTATAAATGTAGTATTAAAGTTAGTAGATCATAACTCAGCCTCAAGTTGAACTACTGTGTCACTGTGTCTCTATCTTACGCCCCCCTGGTGCTGTAGTTGTGAGTATCGGCTGATCACAGTTATGAGGATATTCTCACTTTGTAGAAACCATAAGTTGCGTTGTCTCCTGTTGTGAACAGATATTAGCATATTCGATTTTCCTCATGTAAAACAGCTACATTCATTAGTTTCCTGTTTAATTACCGGTTTATTCAGCTCTTTTTGATTTGGAAAGGAAGTGACCTCGCTCTTTTTTCATCTGCTAACGAATCCACTGTTGACAGACTGAAGTGCTGGCTGATAATGCATCTGAACAATTAAATTACAGTTCAAAAGTAGCTTTACTTGCAGCCCATATAATGTCTCGTGGGCTAATTAACTCAAAAGAAACGATTGTTTCTAACACTGAACTTCATATTTCTGTGTTTTTGTTCGAGACACCTCTGCAGTTAGAGACTTCTTGTGCAAACATTATCAACTGTAAAAAGCAAAGAATGATTTCAAAAGTTTCAGCGATATTACTTTTGTCTTTCTTGGTAAACAATGAAAAAAAAAACAGATCTGAATGTAGAGATTTGTCGTCTTTAGCACTCTGTAGCTTTGGGTCTCTCAAAATAATGATCCAATTTGCTGACTCTCTCAGCAGCCTGAGAATTTTTGAAATTTTACACATAGTTTTATCTCAAAATTGCTCTGTTGCTGATCATAAAGGACCAGTATATGACACCTATGTGGCTCTGGGTCCTCTGTTTTAAGATTAACAATTTAGAGGGGCCAGCTGCTCAGCTGTCCTTCCTGGCATGCCACAGCATTAGACCTGGTGACACCTCAGTCGTCTGATGGCCTGCCCACCTCCCTCCCCTCCCCTCATTCTCGTCCTCCGGTCTGCTTCTCCACTCCCCGTCGCCTCTTTGATGAAGGGATTGAGTTTCATGTGTTCTCCTTTTATCCCTGGGCAGTCATAAGCCCAGAGCATAACTCATAAGCTGCCTTCTGATTCTAATCTGCAGCTCTTTGACTCGCACAATGGGACACACAGGCAACAATGACATCAGCCTTGTAGCTCTGTAAGGGTCAGACAAACACACATGCATACAGAGAGGGGGGTAAACGACGCACAGACTAACAGGTATTGGTGTTAGACATACGTAAAAAGATGAGGAATTTCATACAGTCGGTAAACACCACTGTGATCCAACCTTGACTAAAAAGTGGACGGATTCAGAAACTCCGACCAAATCCCTCGTTCTCCCTGTCTGAATCAAACCTCATCCATCTTAATTCAATTCAAACCCAGGACTATTACTCTGTCTCAATTTACAAACCAAAAAGCCAATTTCAAAGGTAAACCAAGCAAAGGTCACCATTTCTGGGCCTTCACAGGCAATCTAGATGAAAACATGTCAACCTAAATGGGGTGAGATGAGAAACTGCCTCCTAAAGTGGAGTAAACTAGCTAGGTAGATGGGTTCGGGTCACCCGGGCTTCTTCAAAATGGGCCCGTATGGACGAAAACGGTTGTGCATGTAAACGCGCAGCAGATTCAGATAGAACAAACACTCAAGAGTCCCACAAACTGAATGTACCTTAACCGCCTGGATGGTAGAGAGGCTGATTGGAACAGGCAGCTAGATGGAGAAAAGGGTGTAAGAGGACGAGGGTAAATGAAGACGGACAAGAAGATGAGGAGGAGAGAAAACGGCGAGGGGGAGGAGGTAAATAGGGGCGAAATGAGGAGAGACGTTTAGGTAAAGGGTTTATTAGTGAGGAGGACAGCATCTGTGTGTGTGTGGAAGAGGGTTCATTGTGTGTATAGATTTTTGGGCAGTCTGAATGAGCTCATGTGATGTAGCCTAGCATGAAATTCATTCATATATAATCTCCTTGGCAGGCTTGATAAAACACCCACACGTCTAATGCTTGACCCCACAATGTTCCTTAATTAATCCACGTGGCTAATTTGGCAAAAGTCCATTGGGTAACTTTTTTTTTTTTGTCTTACTCGAGGCCTCGTTCACACTCACCCAGAAACACACATTCACACCTGGTATTACCTGATTTTGCTCTGGAGAAGCAATTTTTACTTTTTCCAAGACCAGTTTTGACCAAACTCAAGACTTGAAAAACCTGCTCTGCTCTTTTCCCATGAAGTTAGTACAGCAGTGGTATTTGGTTAGCTACTCTATAGAAATACACTTGGGCTTTTTTTGACAACATCCATTTCCCCTCATCAATATTTTCTTCATTCAGTCTCCTATGAAGTGAAGTTTGATGATCAAAACTCAGCAGGGTTAGATTTTTGGTGAAAAAAACTACAAAAAAACAATGACTGCCACATCCACTGGGGTGCTACAATGGACATAAACTGAAAGTCGCTCACAGGTGCTTTAACATAAACATTTGATTCCTACACGTGTAGGAGTTTTTACAACATGTAAAGATGCTGAGTTTGGTGTAGGCTAATTAACTTGTTTATAAGTGTAATATTTCCTTTTTAATCAGGAGACTAATACATTGCTGGATTATGTTGCTTCTGAGTTGAACAGCCGCTTATTACAGGTCCAAACCGTAGCAAAAGAACTTTTGATCAATTAAGACTTCCTAAAAAGGTTTTAAATGTTGGACAGATAATGGTAGGGAAGCATGATTGCATAATATGGATGTTGGAAAATAAAAGTTCCTCCTCCAGCAGCTGTTTGTTTGTGGGGGAGCCCTGAGGAGTCGATCACCAAGTGCAGTGGAGTTTCGCAGCTCAAGGAAGAACATTTATGATCATTACTTCATGGAAATGCAATCAGACTGAGACGCTAAGGCAGAAAAACTACTGCGTCTGTAGATAAAAATGATTATTATGATGATAATTACTTCATGGAAATGATCCGCTGCACTTGGTGATCGACTCGTCAGGGCTTCCCTCACAAACAAGCAGCTGCTGGAGGAGAGTGGGTGAGTTGTGTTTGGTCTCTTTGCTGAAGAAATTAGTCAAAGTTAAAAAGATGTTTGGTGGCTAGTGCTATGGCTGGGACCCTGTACTGTTGACGAAGTTAGGTGCTGTTCTGAGGATTATTTATGGTTATAGAGTGGCTTTTTGGTTGAGATTTGCACGTGAAGACATAGACCACTGTGTATTACTATCGTGCGGTCGTTGCTGAAGTTGGTATGACTAGAGAAGCAAGCGGTCGGCAACAATCATGTTACTGTGTTACGGTGTGTTTGACCATAACTTACATTTACGCCGGAATAAACTATGTCAGAATTTCTGCTGATGATTATGGCCGATAGGTTGACCCTTTATTCTGTGCTCACGATGACAACATTAGCAGCCTTCACTCTAGTCATTCAACAAGGCTAAGAAATACAGAAACAATCAACCGGAGATAAAGGAAATTAACCAAACAAATCAAATTATTTGCCCTCAGTAACTAAACTGCATTCAGGTCAATGCATTTCATCATAAAATAGCTTCATGTAATCGTTTATTTCATCTAGAGTATAAATAGTGATCATGATCACAGGCAGATCAGAAGTCACGCCACTCAAAACACAGATTGTACATTCATATCCAGACATCCGTCCACAGAAGTTAAAAGTTTCACTGTTTGTTTTAAGTTTAACAAAATGTCATGAGCTCTAAAAGTTAGAAGCCAAAATCTAAAGGGAAGAAAAGAACCCTTTGTACCGTGTTCTTGGACTTTGATTTTTACTCTGTGTGCTAAGCTGCGTTATTTTGGCAAACAGGCAACCTGACTCTTGTGAAAGGGTAAAAAAATAAGTGTTTTCACCAAAATATTCAACCATTTCTCTAACTTATTATTATGTTATGTTTAGCTGTCATCAGTGTTTATATTATTGACAGTTAATAAATGACCTTTTGAAAAATCAGTTTCACTTTCTTTGTTTTGACATTTATATAAACTTTGGTCATTTGTGATTATTCCATTGAGCAATTTTTGACACTGTTTGTATTATTTGTTTTTTTTAACAATAAAAATATTTACCGGTTTATGAATGCCTCCTGTTTTCTCAGCTGATGTCGTAAATTTATAAAATGTGCCAAAACATGCACATATTTCTTGATCACTTCAAAAACTGGGTCTAATTCACATCACAGGACTTGATGAGGCTCTAGGGAGCTTTGAGGAAAAGCCCTTCGTAGATCCTACTTTAGAGGCATCAGGCCAGCATGGATCTAAAAAGGCCACAGACACAGGTGCACTCATCATTCAGAAGTGCCAGACAACACAAAGCAACAGCCCCCCCTCCTCCCTTAATCCCTTCAGATACCAAATACTGAAAGATGAGACGACCAATCATCATCTGAGAAAGGTGTGCTGTGATTTTGGTAATGCATTTTGACTCTCTTTTGCATAAGTCATGTGGATAAAGTTGTCGGTGGTGACAAATATCAGTCTCAGTGTTTGGATGAGAGAACATGAGAGGACATGAGAAAAGATGAGGGTAGGTGATGAGAGGAGAAAGAGCGGCTGCCTCTGGGCGCTGTGGGGAGGGCGAGGTTAGAAAGACACTGACGATGAGGGCGCTCCCTTTAAATTCAAAGGCTGGATCAAAGTGGTGGCTGACGTCTCCTCCTTCCACACACACAGATTTCTTTTCTCTCTGAGCCCATGAGATGAAACAACCGCACACTACAAAGGCTAAACTGAGACAAAACTCTGCTGCAAACGCCTGTGTCTGACTCTGTGTGCGTGTGAGACACTGAATCCTGTGGGAACTGATGTGAGAGAGCCAGGTGGAGTACTGCGCTCTACCTGATTAACCTTTTAAAGTGGTCTTAAGTTCTGACAATGACATGACAATGCAACTACATGTAAATCCACATGATGCAAAAAATATCATCATATTTGCAGAACAAAATCTATAGAGAGACCGAATTTGCAAGTACTCCCACATAGAACCAGATTCGGGGTGTAAATCTGAAACCAGCACAGATTGACTGTAGACCTACACTGACACCTGCTGGTGAGCCAGAATCAAGTCTTTATGCCATAATTCCTAAGCTGCACCCGTTTGCTAGTAAGATCATGTTACAGGATCTAACGCCTTGTTTACCTGCCTCAACACTTTCACATAAATCTGAACTCCACACAGGCAAGTCCTCTCAGACTTCTGTGATAACAGCTAAATTAAACTAGCCAAACCCCCTACACTGAAGCTGCTGCATGAATCAAATTATACTTTAATGCATTAATGTTGATTGACTGTGAAGTCGATCAGTTTGCACGCAGCCAAGACACTCATCAGTAAATTAAAAGCTGTTTAAGTCAAGTCACGTTTAGTCAGCTCTGCGGCACAAAATCGAGTCCTTCAGGAGGAGTCGGTGTGTCTTCATGGTTTACAATGAACACTCGTGTCTGGACCCCAAAACCCACTTCTATAATAATTTATATGACAGAGAGTTTCTTTGTTCTGATACATACCTGTCAAGTGCAGCATGCTTAAAATGTGATATCACTACATCTGATTGTACTTTTCAGTGTATAATTCGACGTCTTTGGTGGCATTATGATTAATGACAACCTCCAATGTTGAAACAGAAGTGCTGGTAAATGCAGTTCTTGGAGTGTCCACTTGAGGCTGGACGAGGAGACTCCTTTTAACACTTTTGTAAGAATTTTTCAGCAGATACAAATGAGCTTACAGCCTGGTACAAAATATGGTTTTGGTCAGATTCCCTCATATCTCTACTTAGAGGAGTGGCTGACAGACGCTCCACACCCATTGTAGCTGTTAGCCAGACTGTATCACCTCTTCCCCTCTGCTTGGTTGACTGAAAGTCTGGGTGAGTCAGCATTTCTAATATGGTGACTGCCATGAGTGGGCTTCAGAGCAACAACTTTTTGGAAACAACTTTTTTAGTCTATTTCACATTTTGCACAACTTGCTGCAACAGATCAGGCGCAGTTTAAAGAGCAAGTGTTTCGCTCTAATTTTTTGCAATTATTTTCTCAAAGTACTTTCAAAAGGATTACTGTTTTGTGCTTTCATTAGACAGTTAAGCCCCTGAACATTGAGTTGGTGTGACACTTGTGGTCTGCTCTCTTACCTTTGGCACATGTGGATTAAACTCGACAGCTCTGTGTATGGCCTCCACAGCGTTCATTTCTGCTGTGCTCAGCCCTCGCCTGGACGCAGCCTCTGGAGAAAATCTGAGACAACACAAACCGTGTTTTTGTATGATGGTGCAGCTGATTCAACAGTTTTCAGTCAGTCATGTTGGTGTGATGCTGATGTGAAGTAGAGTTAGAGCACACATACTTATCTGATACAGCCCGCGCTTTCAGCAGCGCCGATGTGTAACATATCGTGGCTGATTTTGGCAAACTGATGTCTACAAAGGCAAAGAGTGAAAATGAGTAGATTTTTTTTCAGCTGTATCAGTGGCACTGGATTTTTTTTTAATTAGGATCAATCTTACCGTCATATTTAGACAGGACTGCTTGGACATCAGCATATGCCTGCAGCTCTAGAAGCGCCTCCAAGAGGTTTTCATGTATATTTAACATTCCTAATAAAGGAAACTCCTTCATTAACTGTAAAAAAGAAAAAAAAAACACATTCAATCAACCTGCAATGGTAGTTAAACTTGTATTTTTAATATCTGTAAACTCACATCTCTCATCATTTTTACGGCTTCTTTAATTCGCCCAAGCTTCCTCGCACACATCGCCAGTCTGCGTTTGATGTATACCAGTAAGTTGATATCTTTTCCAGCTGTGAAAGACAGCACATGAACATCAATTCGAAACATTTACTTTACCAAATTCTTTTCTTTCATTTTTTCATATTTTTCATATACTTTAATTGCCCCTGTAGGGAAATTTGTTGTGGACTCTCTGATGGTCTGCAGTTTGCAAATAAAAGAACAGGAACATTGAGGGATCGCACTAGGCAACACACATCACACATGCAAGACAAGTACACAGCAGCAACAAGTATCAGTCGCCCATATCAGCAAACAATAAATAATAAATAAGATCAAACATGCCACAGAGGATGTAATTACCACTTTTTTTTATTTCTAGTTTTCTATTTTTCTGCTTCTGTGTCTCAGTGTTTATAGGATAATAAGTTGTTCATGTATATTTAAATGATCTCACCGATGGCTAGTGCTTTTTTGAAGAGGCGTTCAGCTTCTGTGATGGTCGTGGCTTCTTCTTCTGCGAGCAGCACATAAGCTGCAGCACATCTGTACAAAGAAACATACTGTATGTCCATAAATGTAAAACTGGCAGGGATTCATTCCTACAGCCTTTTGTCGTTGTGTTTTCTCATTCACAGAGGATAGTTATCTTTAAAAATGAGAAAACTAAGAAATATCAGAGTAATTACTTTGATGCAAAATTACAAATGAGACGCCATTCTGCATGATATTAAAGTGAGAGACTCCCACATTAAAAAAAAACCCATTCACAGAATCATTTAAGTATTTTTTTTAATAAACTGTGTGACCAAAATGGAGACAACAGAATCTGAGGTAATAACGTGTCCCAGTGTAAAGAGACTCACTCATGGTTCATTTCTATGGCCTGGTAAGCTGCTCTGATCCTGGCTTGAGGATTTCTCTCTCTCCAGGCTTTCTGCATCACTGTAATGAGATGATGAACTCAAGCTTATTAGAGATGTCACCTTGCAGCCCAGACATATTAAATTGCAAGTCAGGCGCTCTAATGGGAAAAGATGAAAAGTTATTTAAAAAATATTACAAATGACCACAAGAAAACTCCTCTGAAGATGTGCACTTAGTTTTTTTGTCTTTGGTACAACAACAACAAAAAATATCTTGAGTATAGCATCACAGAAAGTCATTCACAGACTCTGTAATCAAGTCTGCAAAGCATTCAAACTCACCTGCATCTTCTGGTCGTAACTGTGGAGTGTCTCCTGTGAAGAAGGTCTGGTGGTCTTGAGCAGACAGGTTCATATCATAGTATGTTAAAGGTTCCTTCCCTGTTACCCAGGTGTACCTGTGGTGCACAGAGAAAAACTTTCATCCTAAAGCTACCTTTTCATATCAAAAACAATTGAATTCATCTTCTCAAAGGTAGACAACATGCTGTTCTTTATGAGAGTCAAACATACCTGTTGTATTCTGCTCCTCTGAACAGATTCAAAGGGTTCCTCCAGACTTTACACTCTACCAAAAACGAGATATCATCATTAGTGCGTGTGCATTCATGAGTCATACCACATACGGTTTCTTTACTTACCTGAGACACTGGGTCTGGGCTCTGCCTCTCCGTTGACTGATGTAAACAGACCAGTCGTGGAGCTGCTCTCCACTCCACCCAGAAGAGGCCGCAGGTGGCTCACTGACACTTGTTCAATGAACGAGGTCCCATATTTACGGAAATACCACCACTCAAATATCTGTAGAGAAAGTCAGAAAAGGGATGCTTCACAAAGTGTAAATGATAAGACAACAACTACACATAAGCTCAGACCCACTGCAGACAGGAGTGACCAAAATCACTAATTTACTTTACACTGGTTTTGCTTTTTTTAATCACATTCGGCCCCCGACATCCATGGCTTTTTGTTTAAGTGACATTCACATACAGCTGCAGTGCTGAAATAACTCACTACAGAGTCATTACAAAGTTCACAGCTCAGCGTCAATCACTGTAATTTGCCTTTTTTTTCTCCCAGGCTGTGCAGGAAAAATCTGCCACTAAAAAAGGTTCATTTTCTAAAGAACAGCCAAAAGAAATTAAGGTTGATGAATGATATTTCATTGAACTGTCCTTTTATCCTCAAAGCCATTCATGATGTAAAACTTCTTGCGCTCTGTAGCCATACACATACTTTTAATGTGATTAAAGTAGCTACTGCGCAAAAAGCCCAAACTAAAAACTTGTCTTTCTACTCATAGAGGTTCTTAATGTCATCTGTTCAAAAGTTTGGTGGCAGATAAAACACACACAAAAACTATATATTTCATGAATTAAACCCTTTAATCTGACCGAATAGTTTTGGTACGGGATCACTAAGGTATGGTATCCTTGCTGCTGCTCTTTTGCTCTAGAGATCAAACACAAGGCTAAATACAGCATAAATGTCAGTTCCTATCATTTTCACTTTCCTATACAGAATCAGAATCAGAAATACTTTAATAATCCCCAGGGGGAAATTGCTTTTGTTGCAGTATTACAGTGAAAATACAGTAAAGAGGAGATAAATAATAGATAAAATAAGTAAAAATATAGAGACAATATACAAGTATTTACACTATAAACAACACAAATAGTGACATCGTATGCATGTAAAACAGTGAGCAGAGTCCAGGTAAAGACTCCTGACTGAGGGTGTCAGAGTCTCTGAGGGAGGTTCTGTGCTGTGACCCTCCAAAACACAGAAATAAGATTATAGGTACACTCGTTCAGCTTTGTACTGAATTTGAGGATTCAACACTTGCAATTTGGAAACCACAAAACAAGACAAAAAGCTGGAATTTATATTTAAACGCACTACAAGACCCTTAACTTAATGATAAATCTCTTATAATCTGGCTTCCACCTATGCATTCATTTTTTTGCTGCTACATAATGTCAAAATTTATGGAGTTTTTAGCAAGATGTGTCTGATAAATAACTCACAGTTTAATGTAATCCTGCAGATATAATCTACACTGACCAGCAGTAACATCATGTACACCTGGGCAATACAATGTGACCCAATTCAACAGCTTGTTGTCGATATAGTCAGGCAGGTGATAAATGTTATTTTTATATTCATTGTGGAAGTTGTAGTGGGTGTCTGTGCTAAATTAAATGGTAGGGTGTCCCTTTCTTTTTGGCTTTCCTCATGTTTCTTCAATGAAGTGGACAAAATATTATTATCACTAATTTTTCAATCAATCGTATGAGGTTAAATAATCACCTGTCTGATCATGTGAGCAGAAAATTGAAAGTTTAAGTGTCTTAAAGGAGGATTTTTGTTGCATTAGATGACCCAGGTGTTGCAGCTTGTTCATGTTTATCCTGTATTCCCAGAAAAAAGAGAGAAGTTGAACTCACAAGGATGAGTCCAGAGATGAGGGACGAGGTTCCTGTGAGAGCCACGTAGAACTTAGGGGTCAGTGTATTCAAGAACACTGATGCTGCAAAATAAAGAAGAGGAGTCAGACAGTATAACATCAGTCTCACCATTAAATTTCCTCCGTGTGAGTCTGAATGAGTCTCATCCCGAACTGTCAAACCTGCAGCTCGACTCCGCTGCCTGCTAAACCACAATGCTAACAATAGCTAGCTAGCAGCCGCTTTAATTCACCTGAGGTAAGAGTTTCCTGCAGTTTGAGCGGACTCCACAGGACGTAGATCATAATCAGCACCATGCCCAACCAAATGAAGCAGACGTAAGTCCATGACCAAGAGAGCCACGACTTTAATTTCTCTGTAAATCCGAGAGATTGGGGATTACTGCCAGCGGTGTCCTCCATGTTTCTCCGGATGCCTGTAAACAGAAAAGTCACGTGACCGCCGAGGAGGAGGAGGAGAGGAAGGTTTAGATATCTTTATAAAATAACCGACAAATAATGTTTATTTCACGGAAAACTAACGAATTTAAATAATTATCTCCAATAAATAATTTCCTAAACCGTAATGCACTTAAAATAGGGCATAAAAACTATATTTAAAAGACTGTTTTATTTATCTCAAATGAGTCCTTAAAGCTCCTGTTAAGACTTTTTTTTAAAGCTAGTTGTAAAACAGTTCATGATCTGATAAAATATTTTGCGATCTGAGAAAAACAAACAAGAAAGCCATCAAGAAGTGATTATTCCCATATAGTTCTTTATAATCTCTGAAAATCTCTGGGGATAGGGGTCAGACCAAGTGGTAAAATGATCTAGTATTTTTTGACTTTTCACAGCAAATGCAACCATTTAACAAGTGTTGTGTCAAACTATTTATTAGGGAACACTTACACATAAGGACTACTTAGTCCATGAGGGGGTGCACAAAAACTGACACAAACAGACAATTCCTCAAAGCTAGATAGTGTACCACATTATTTTGCTCTCGCTCTGGAGGCCTAAACTTAATATTTTTGCTTTAACTTAATTTGGGAGTATTTGACAGCTTAAGTTCTATTTCTTCTACCAATCCTAATAACATACACAGATCTCATTTACATATGTCGTTAATAAATAGTTTTACCTTAATTAGTTAGTTAATCATTTAGTTATTGGAGTTTTAAATGGTACTGATGCTCCAGGTGATTTGTCCAAAGTGCGTGTGCTCTGGGATTTGTAGTCTCGACCCAAAATCTGGAACTATGTGATCTAGATTTGTGTCACCTGAAACAGGAGCGTGGGCTAATTAAAACCTCTAAAGAAGCTGTAGGCATTTGCTGTTTTTTATTTAATATCTGATTGATAATAAATCAATAGATCATTCAATTTGTTTCATCACAGTAGATCAATCTATCGATTATTCCAGATATAATATGAAAGTATTGACTCGTATTTCAGGACATGTTTAATCTAGAAACCCCGGTATGATTGTAAGATAACTGAAATTGGTAATGAAACTGTGACCACTGAATAATCCTAATTAAAAATGTGTTGTTTTTTTGTTGTTTTTTTAAAAATAAGAACTCCTCTCTTCTATAAACCATGATTACCATGGGCATTGGGGATTATTTGAAAGTTATGCACCATTTTACCCCCAAAGTGAACCACAAACTTGAATATTTTCAGCTGTGATCTCATGTAGATATTAGTTTGAATTAATAATTCCAGCTGTAAATAAAACTACAAGCCTTTAAAAGCTAATTTAGATGTAATACTCTGTTTGACCATTAAGTGGAGCCATCACAACATGAATAGATGAACTCCTGTTTCCATGTGCCTACAGAAGGTGGAGACAGTGTTCACCTTACATCACTTCCTTACAGCCTCTTACAGTACATTAAAATTCATGGTTTTAGCTGGAAAGTGTACTCCTTGAGCTCATATTCTCTGCAAATTAATTACCAAAGAAGGCTGAGGATTGGATTCAAATTGTATGGCAGGATTTACATACCCATATATGTTTGCTCTTCTTCAAAGAGAGACAATCCAATAAGCTTGTTGCTATGAGGTGGAGGAATATTTTTGGATGTACACAACCTGCAGCACTTCTCACCTTGTGTTTCTGAGTCACATCCTAACAGTGCAGGAATAAAACGTGATTTGTTGGTGTGCGTTCTGGTTGGAGGTTACAGCCACTGAATGACAGAGAGCCAGATTTGGTCCTGCTCGCACATGCCCTTGGGTGTTTTCTTCCTGATGCTGATGGACAGGCACACGCAGGGTTAAAGGCCTGTCATATAAATCAGGTACAATCACTTTGGAGGTGAAAACATGCATGATGCCACTGACAGGGAGGCGGAAAGGAGGAAAGAAAGAAGAGAATAAAAGAGGGAGGGAGGGAGGGGAGTCAAGTCTGCTGGAGTAATCTTGAGTTTACATTTATGACCCGCATGACTGAACCTATTTCTGTCTAAATTGATATTTCAAAATGATAAAATGTACATGTAACCTCGGAGAATATAGCCTGTAAACAGAGTTATCTGCTCCTCTGTTTGCACCGGTTAACTATCAACAGAAGTCAAACAAATAAAATGGTTTAACGTTTCCAGTATATGTGCGTCACCGTTGCACATCTTAAAATAAGGAAACATTGAAACAGTGAATTTGTTTTTTTAACATAGAGGACAAAGGCAAACTTCTCTTTTCGGTTGAATGCAGATATGAAAAACACAAAACTGATATAAAAGAATTGCAAACAAAGTGTGACATGACCTGTGCACAAACGGTCAGCCAGGATCCAGCCATGCAGAAGCAATATCCTTCATCATTCTGCAGTCACCTGTATACTTAAGGTTCATTTACAATTTCCCGTCTGGTCTGCATCCAGCCATTCTGGACTTCATGTTCTGTTTATGTAGTTTCTTTCTTTTTCTCTCCCCAAAGCTTTTAAGAGTCCTCTAATCATACATAATTAATCAGGATTTTCACTTAAATGCACTGCATTTCTCACTCTCATTATTACTTAAGAGGCTGCTCTTTAAGGCTTGAAAATCCCCAGCGTTGTGTTGATCATATTGTTCACAAAGCCAGATGTTCCAATAAATGAAGACTTTAATAGAAAAATACACAAAACATTTATTCATATTTGGGAGTGTTTCAGGCTGTGACATTATTGCACCACTTTACATAAAAGCTTTGATTTTTTTCTGCCTGAAATGAAACATTTTAGTGGGAACTGAGCACAGGTTTGGTTGCGATGCAGATTTAATGAGAGCTAAAGTTTGCTTTGAGTATGGTGCACTGACGGCTGCTTTGTCTGATCTGTTTTTGGTGGTCCCTGCTGATGGAAAACTTTTTGAAACTGGCTCTTGTCTCCCACACTGCTTTCTCTCTGAGCGTTTACATTACTGGTCTCCATGACGGTACTCTCCCTCCACAAGTCATTTCTCTCAAAACACTTCATTTTCTGAAAACGTGTGTTCTCTTTTTCTTTTTTTTTCTGCATCAGAAGACCATGCTGTTTGACCACATCTGAAAGCACTGGTGCCGCAGAAAAATGACTTCCTTCATGACAGGCGCGTAGACCAAGTCGCAACATTTCAACCTTTGTCTCTCTAAGTATGAACTGCACATGTTCGACAATGTCTGTGCGCACCACAAATGACATTTATACATGAAATGCAACACTAAACACTTTTGTTTTAGCTTTTTTAATCACCTCATATAAAAGCCACAGTCTTTCACTCAATCAAAATGCACAGAATTTGTCATGTAAAATTTTATTAAACCCCTTACTTGTAAATAAAACCCACTTAATATGAGGAGTAACATGCACAACATGAAATAGCAGCTTAACAGTGCAGCAAACGGCCTCCTATCCTCTGCACACACCAGCTTTTTCACTGTATACAACTCCAGCCAACTGTAAGTATAAATGGAAGAGGCAGAGATGAATAATACATATGAATTACCTTCATGCAGGCAGGGTCTTTTTTTTCTATTCCCCTCTCCTGGTGCAAGAACATCATTTTTAGCAACAATAAAATAAAAACTACAGGTACTGTGAGCGAACAGCACTGCAGCTGTACTTGCAGAAGCTTCAAAGGTGTAACAGTGCTTTCACAAAGGTGTTAAAAGACTGTTTAACTGCAAAACACAAAAGTAATGAAAGTCTTTGAGTTTCGGAAAATTAAAGCTTCAAATCCTGCTTTTTGACTCTTATTAAAGCCGCTTTTGTTTGCACTGTGAGAGCATATGTATGAGCTGAGGTAGGTCTGAGTGTTTTTTCTCTTCTAAACACACTTTCTCTAAACTAAATAGGACAGTTGTTTTGCCTGTCAGCGTTGAGGAAGCAGATAATGACACATGGTGAAAATTTGAATCCTTAATCCCAACGTAAACAAAAGTTTGTTCCAGACAGAGAGACACAAACACACAAATCAAAAGCAGAACACAACACTGAGACTTTCTTTCTCTCTCTCTGTCTGCTTGACTGTGTTAATAAGGAAACTTCTGCAAAAATTCTCATGGAAAAAAAAACTGAAAATGACTGAAGAGGAAATTAATATGCAAAAACACTTTGACCTTTAAATTTTCAATACCAATTACAATGAACCGAAACAGATCAGAGTTTTGGGAGTAAAACGCAACTCAGTGAGCTCAACAGAAGACATATTTTCCCCTGTAATCTACAAATCCACAAATCATCATCACTTTTCCTAAAATCTAACAATTTTGTAACTCAGCTCACACAGGTAAAGTAACTTCACTAAGACGAAAAAGTCAAGATAAAGAACAGATGATCGACAGTAAAAGACATTTTTAATACAAGTTTATTTTTTGAAACACATGTCAGCTAAAGGCGACTTAAAGGGCTCAAACTATGACATTATATCATCATTAAAGAGGACATTTATTACAATTTTAATAAGGCAGTACAATAGAAACTACAAAAACGGAAATTAAACAGTATAAGACAGAATGTAGATGTGCTACAGAGGTAAGAGTAGTTAACACTTAAACTTACCCCAATAAACCGACCGCATTAACACTCTGTACCTGATATTTTAAGGACCATAAACGGGCAGAAACAACCAAACTCAGGTTATAAATAGAAATCTAATCAAAAAGCTAAAACAGTAAAAACAAACATTTTTGGAAATAAATGAAACTGTGAAAAAGTGGTATGGCTGGTCTAGCAGTTTAGACATGCCCAGAGTACAGAGACCTCATGTCTCAGCAAAGGCCATGACCCTTTATCATGTGCTACCCCTGCCAAAAACAGATTTTAGGGAAAATGAGCATTGCTGAAAAGTGGAAAAAGACAAAAATGAAAATAACAAACAGGGATAAACTTTGTTAAAGAAACTACATAGACTTGGCCAATGATTTAACTATTATTTTAAGTAGAAAGCCACATTAAAATCATATTACAGCTGTAAAAATAGTATACGTATCA